CTGCAGAGAAAACATACAAGTCACACAAGCACATCTGGGCGTGGAAGAGTGTGTGTTTGTGAGATGGTCTTCGGGGTGGGCCCCTGTGGTCATCCCCAGTTGTCTCTTAAACTGTTGACCTTATTTAGAGTTCCACATCCCTCATGGTCCTGGTTCCACATCCCTCATGGTCCTGGTTCCTCAGCAGCTGGTCTGCCTTCTCAAGAACTGAAACTAGACTGTTGCCCTTTGCCTCCCTCCTTAGGAACATTCATATTCTACAATTAATATATTTGAATATGAACTTTCTGCACTTACCCTTTTCTCACTTAGTAACTTTCCACACACCAAGTTCCTTTTTACCCTTCCTTGACCCCCAACATATACATTTCTTATATATGTAAAGTGATCACTAAGTTCTGGTATGGTAACATGAATAAGTATATTTCAAGCTAGACTCCAACACGGGTATTGTGGCGAGTTGACCTGTTGTTGTAATGTGTCTATCAGGTATTGTGGAGAACTTCCATCCAGTTCTGTAGTAACCAGTGACACAAACACCATGACGGTAGTCTTCTACTCTGATGCCTCCTATGTAGACAGAGGATTCAGCGCCAAGTACGAGACCTTCGAGTCCACAGACCGTAAGTAGAAATCTTGATTGTTCATCAAATCATCTTAAGCAAGTGGCTCATTGCACAATACAAGACAAGCGATGACCTGAGCATTCACTGGTCCCTGGCCACTCATATTGGGGAGGGGAGCATTCACTGGTCCCTGGCCACTCATATTGGGGAGGGGAGCATTCACTGGTCCCTGGCCACTCATATTTGTATTTGTATTTCTTAAGGATCCCCATTAGTTCCTGCCAAGGCAGCAGCTACTCTTCCTGGGGTCCAGCAAAATTTAAGGCAGTTATCTAACATTCTAAACATTACAATACATTCATTACAGATTTCACAACACATTGTGTGCCCTCAGGCCTCTACTCTACTACCACATATCTACAATAAAAAATCCATGTGTACATGTGTGTGTATAGTGCATATGTTCTTGTGTGTTTGTCTCTTCACAGTCCCCGCTGTTCCGTAAGGTGTAGTCTTATCAGTTTTTTAAATCTACTTTTACTGCTGGCATGAGTTACATGATGTGGAATAGAGTTCCATGTAGTCATGGCTCTATGTAGTACTGTGCGTCTCCCATAGTCTGTTCTGGACTTGGGGACTGTGAAGAGACCTCTGGTGGCATGTCTTGTGGGGTATGCATGGGTGTCTGAGCTGTGTGCCAGTAGTTCAAACAGACAGCTCGGTGCATTCAACATGTCAACACCTCTCACAAACACAAGCAGTGATGAAGTCAATCTCTCCTCTACTTTGAGCCATGAGAGATTGACATGCATATTATTAATGTTAGCTCTCTATGTACATCTAAGGGCCAGCCGTGCTGCTCTGGGCCAATTGTAATTTTCCTAAGTCCCTCTTTGTGGTTGTGGCACCTGACCATACGACTGAACAGTAGTCCAGGTGCGACAAAACTAGGGCCTGTAGGACCTGCCTTGTTGATAGTGTTGTTAAGAAGGCAGAGCAGTGCTTTATTATGGACAGACTTCTCCCCATCTTAGCTACTGTTGCATCAATATTTTTTGACCATGACAGTTTACAATCCAGGGTTACTCCAAGCAGTTTAGTCACCTCAACTTGCTCAATTTCCACATTTATTCATTACAAGATTTAGTTGAGGTTTAGGGTTTAGTGAATGATTTGTCCCAAATAAAATGCTTTTAGTTTTAGAAATATTTAGGACTAATTTATTCCTTGCCACCCATTCTGAAACTAACTGCAGCTCTTTGTTAAGTGTTGCAGTCATTTCAGTCGCTGTAATAGCTGACGTGTATAGTGTTGAGTCATCCGCATACATAGACACACTGGCTTTACTCAGCGCCAGGTCATTACTAAAGATGGAAAAAAAGTATGGGGCCTAGACAGCTGCCCTGGGGAATGCCTGACTCTACCTGGATTATGTTGGACAGGTCTTCCATTAAAGAACACCCTCTGTGTTCTGTTAGACAAGTAACTCTTCATCCACAATATAGCAGGGGGTGAAAAGCCATAACGCATACGTTTTTCCAGCAGCAGACTATGATCAATAATGTCAAAAGCTGCACTGAAGTCTAACAAAACAGCTCCCACAATCTTTTTATTATCAATTTCTCTCAGCCAATCATCAGTCATTTGTGTAAGTGCTGTACTGTTGTTAATTTATTTACTGTGAAATAGCATTGTATCTGGTCAAACCCAATTTCTTTCCTAAAGTTTACTAAGGGTTGGTAACAGGCTGATTAGTCGGCTGTTTGAGCCAGTAAAGGGGGCTTTACTATTCTTAGGTAGCGGAATGACTTTGCTTCCTCCAGGCTTGAGGGCACACACTTTCCAGTAGGCTTAAATTGAAGATATGGCAAATAGGGGTGGGAATATCGTCCGCTATTATCCTCAGTAATTTTCCAAGCCTGTGGTGCGCGTCGTCAGTCCGGCACAGCCCGTGCCTGTTCCACCGGTGCCTGGTCCGGCACCGGTCAGCTGCTCCACTCCGGAGCTAGAGCAATCCGCTCCACCAGTGTTCAGTCCAGCTCCGGCCAGCAGGGCCAGACCGGACCAGGGGCGCTTTGGTGGGTTGGTTGGAGGGTGGGGGTCAAGCCCGGAGCCGGAACCGCCTCCGAGGAGGAATGCCCACCCGGCCCTCCCCTGTTAAGTTTATGTTTGGCGCGGTCGCAGTCCGCGCCTTTGGGGGGGGTACTGTCACGCCCTGGCTCTGGGACTGTGTTATGTTGAGCCAGGGTGTGTTGTTTCTTTGTGTTTTGTGTTTTGTGTGCTAGTCTAGTTTTGTATTTCTATGTTGGCCAGGGTGGCTCCCAATCAGAGACGGCTGTAGCTCGTTATCTCTGATTGGGAGCCATACTTAGGTAGCCGTTTGGCATTCATTTGGTGTGGTTTCTTGTTCCGTGTTGGTTTGTGTATGTAACCAAGGACGTCACGTTATCGTTTTGTTCGTGTGATCATTATTTAATAAATATGTTCGCATTCCACGCTGCGCCTTGGTCCTCCTCCTTCGACGATCGTAACAATATGGAATTATCATAATTTGGTCAGTTATGCATGGATGTGTAGGTTCAGAATTTGTTGTTGGCATGTCATGCCTAAATTTGCTAATCTTGCCAATGAAAAAATAATTAAAGTAGTTGGCAATATCAGTGGGTTTTGTGATGAATCATTCAATTAATGGAGCCGAGTTTGCCTTGTTGCCCAAAATGTCATTTAAGGTGCTCCAAAGCTTTTTACTATCATTCTTCATATCATTTATCTTTGTTCCATAGTACAGTATTGGGGAGGTGTTAATGAACGGAGAATTCACTGGTCCCTGGCCACTCATATTGGGGAGGGGAGCATTCACTGGTTCCTGGCCACTCATATTGGGGAGGGGAGCATTCACTGGTTCCTGGCCACTCATATTGGGGAGGGGAGCATTCACTGGTTCCTGGCCACTCATATTGGGGAGGGGAGCATTCACTGTTTTCCTTTAGCTGACCCCTCCCACTGTCCCTCCTCTATTTTCATCCCCAGCCTGTCCTGACAAGTTCCAGTGCAATAACCAGCGTTGTATCAAAACACAGCTGAAGTGTGATGGCTGGAACGACTGTGGAGATATGAGCGACGAGATGAACTGCAGTGAGTACTAACAAACTCATTGATTTTTGTCTGCAGAAAACGTTTTAATGGATATTAGATGGATTAATACTAAAGATTGATCATTGTTTACCAAATGTAACCAAGGTGTGTGTGTGTGTGTGTGTGTGTGTGTAGAGTGTGATGCCACTCAGATCCACTGTAAGAACGGCCTGTGTAAACCCAAGTTCTGGGAGTGTGATGGCGTGAACGACTGTGGAGATGACACTGATGAACTGAACTGTGGTATGTTTCACGGTCCTGTAGTCTGAAGCCTCAGGCCTGTCCACAGATGGAACAGAAGTCACTCACTCTCATCCTGTTTCCAGTTGATTCATGTGTACACACATTAAGTTACATTCAGGAGCAGTGTACCAAAAGTAAAGTTGTGATTGGAGGATATTTCCAGCATACTGTGTTATTATATCATGTCTCCTCTTCTGGTTGTTCTGTTCTCCTCAGGGGCCTGTAAGGCGGGGGAGCTGACATGTCGCAACGGAAAGTGTATTTCGGAGAAGAAGCGCTGTGACGGGAATGATGACTGTGGAGATGGGTCAGACGAGAGCGACTGTGGACGAAGTGAGTAGACATTTCTCTCGATCAGTTCAATCAATCAAGTACATTTTATTTATACAGACGTTTTTACAGGTGGATGTAGCCTGAAATCCAAACGGATAAGTTGGTTCACCATTGTTTCAGAGAGCATATCAGTTCTCTGTATTTAATTTAATAGGATTGGTAGAACTGCATTGTTGAGGAAGAGCTAGTAAGCGTTTCACTGTACTGTTTACACCTGCTGTATCCTGTGGACGTGACGAATAAACACACATTTTAATTTGTATTTGGGTTCCACACTAACTCTAATGGCCTGTCTTAGTATTTGCGGATGGATCGTTCATGTGGTTCTGGCTCCACCTCTACGTTCATGTGGTTCTTCTCCTCTCCCCAGTTATGGATAATGTGCAGTGTTCTGGCTCCACCTCTACGTTCATGTGGTTCTTCTCCTCTCCCCAGTTATGGATAATGTGCAGTGTTCTGGCTCCACCTCTACGTTCATGTGGTTCTTCTCCTCTCCCCAGTTATGAATAATGTGCAGTGTTCTGACTCCACCTCTACGTTCATGTGGTTCTTCTCCTCTCCCCAGTTATGGATAATGTGCAGTGTTCTGACTCCACCTCTACGTTCATGTGGTTCTTCTCCTCTCCCCAGTTATGGATAATGTGCAGTGTTCTGGCTCCACCTCTACGTTCATGTGGTTCTTCTCCTCTCCCCAGTTATGGATAATGTGCAGTGTTCTGGCTCCACCTCTACGTTCATGTGGTTCTTCTCCTCTCCCCAGTTATGGATAATGTGCAGTGTTCTGGCTCCACCTCTACGTTCATGTGGTTCTTCTCCTCTCCCCAGTTATGGATAATGTGCAGTGTTCTGACTCCACCTATAAGTGTGAGAACAACAAGTGTATCAACAAGGAGAACCCTGAGTGTGATGGAACACCTGACTGTGAGGACAAATCAGATGAGGCCAACTGTGGTAAGACACTCCCTCTGTCCCCGAATCAACACGCCATGGTTCACACCACTCCCCTCACAACACGCCATGGTTCACACCACTCCCCTCACAACACGCCATGGTTCACACCACTCCCCCCACAACACACCATGGTTCACACCACTCCCCTCACAACACGCCATGGTTCACACTACTCTCCTCACAACACGCCATGGTTCACACCACTCCCCCCACAACACACCATGGTTCACACCACTCCCCTCACAACACGCCGTGGTTCACACCACTCCCCTCACAACACGCCATGGTTCACACCACTCCCCTCACAACACGCCATGGTTCACACCACTCCCCTCACAACACGCCATGGTTCACACCACTCCCCTCACAACACGCCATGGTTCACACCACTCCCCTCACAACACGCCATGGTTCACACCACTCCCCTCACAACACGCCATGGTTCACACCACTCCCCTCACAACACGCCATGGTTCACACCACTCCCCTCACAACACGCCATGGTTCACACCACTCCCCTCACAACACGCCATGGTTCACACCACTCCCCTCACAACACGCCATGGTTCACACCACTCTCCTCACAACACGCCATGGTTCACACCACTCTCCTCACAACACGCCATGGTTCACACCACTCTCCTCACAACACGCCATGGTTCACACCACTCCCCCCACAACACGCCATGGTTCACACCACTCCCCTCACAACACGCCATGGTTCACACCACTCCCCCCACAACACGCCATGGTTCACACCACTCCCCTCACAACACGCCATGGTTCACACCACTCCCCTCACAACACGCCATGGTTCACACCACTCCCCTCACAACACGCCATGGTTCACACCACTCCCCTCACAACACGCCATGGTTCACACCACTCCCCTCACAACACGCCATGGTTCACACCACTCCCCCCACAACACGCCATGGTTCACACCACTCCCCCCACAACACGCCATGGTTCACACCACTCCCCTCACAACACGCCGTGGTTCACACCACTCCCCTCACAACACGCCATGGTTCACACCACTCCCCTCACAACACGCCATGGTTCACACCACTCCCCTCACAACACGCCGTGGTTCACACCTCTCCCCTCACAACACGCCGTGGTTCACACCACTCCCCTCACAACACGCCATGGTTCACACCAAATGAGCCGTAACTGTTAATTACAGATTTATAAACGATCTATAAACATAGTTTTACTACTTATAAACCCCTTTCTAAATATCTGAATGTAAAATGTTAGTGTGATTGACTACTGCATTGGTCTCAGTGTAGCAGCCTGCTGTTGACTAAATGCTGATTGTGTTGTTTCAGATTGTGGGCGGAGTCTGTTTAAGACGAGCCGTATCGTGGGTGGTCAGGACGCAGAGGAGGGGGAGTTCCCGTGGCAGGTCAGCCTCCACATTAAGAACGCCGGTCACGTCTGTGGTGCATCCATCATCAGCCAGCGCTGGCTGGTTACTGCTGCCCACTGCGTCCAGGATGACGCCAAGACCAGGTACCTGTGGAGGATTCTCCCTGTGTGTGTGTGTCCAGCTGGGTACATGGAGGTCTATATGGGTTAGTGTGTGTGTGCATGCCATCCTAACCTGTGTATCTCTAGGTATTCCCAGCCGGGTGTATGGGAGGCATACCTAGGCCAGCCATCCTAACCTGTGTATCTCTAGGTATTCCCAGCCGGGTGTATGGGAGGCATACCTAGGCCAGCCATCCTAACCTGTGTATCTCTAGGTATTCCCAGCCGGGTGTATGGGAGGCATACCTAGGCCAGCCATCCTAACCTGTGTATCTCTCTAGGTATTCCCAGCCGGGTGTATGGGAGGCATACCTAGGCCAGCCATCCTAACCTGTGTATCTCTAGGTATTCCCAGCCGGGTGTATGGGAGGCATACCTAGGCCAGCCATCCTAACCTGTGTATCTCTAGGTATTCCCAGCCGGGTGTATGGGAGGCATACCTAGGCCAGCCATCCTAACCTGTGTATCTCTAGGTATTCCCAGCCGGGTGTATGGGAGGCATACCTAGGCCAGCCATCCTAACCTGTGTATCTCTCTAGGTATTCCCAGCCGGGTGTATGGGAGGCATACCTAGGCCAGCCATCCTAACCTGTGTATCTCTAGGTATTCCCAGCCGGGTGTATGGGAGGCATACCTAGGCCAGCCATCCTAACCTGTGTATCTCTCTAGGTATTCCCAGCCGGGTGTATGGGAGGCATACCTAGGCCAGCCATCCTAACCTGTGTTTCTCTCTAGGTATTCCCAGCCGGGTGTATGGGAGGCATACCTAGGCCAGCCATCCTAACCTGTGTATCTCTAGGTATTCCCAGCCGGGTGTATGGGAGGCATACCTAGGCCAGCCATCCTAACCTGTGTATCTCTCTAGGTATTCCCAGCCGGGTGTATGGGAGGCATACCTAGGCCAGCCATCCTAACCTGTGTTTCTCTCTAGGTATTCCCAGCCGGGTGTATGGGAGGCATACCTAGGCCAGCCATCCTAACCTGTGTATCTCTAGGTATTCCCAGCCGGGTGTATGGGAGGCATACCTAGGCCAGCCATCCTAACCTGTGTATCTCTAGGTATTCCCAGCCGGGTGTATGGGAGGCATACCTAGGCCAGCCATCCTAACCTGTGTATCTCTCTAGGTATTCCCAGCCGGGTGTATGGGAGGCATACCTAGGCCAGCCATCCTAACCTGTGTTTCTCTCTAGGTATTCCCAGCCGGGTGTATGGGAGGCATACCTAGGCCAGCCATCCTAACCTGTGTATCTCTAGGTATTCCCAGCCGGGTGTATGGGAGGCATACCTAGGCCAGCCATCCTAACCTGTGTATCTCTCTAGGTATTCCCAGCCGGGTGTATGGGAGGCATACCTAGGCCAGCCATCCTAACCTGTGTTTCTCTCTAGGTATTCCCAGCCGGGTGTATGGGAGGCATACCTAGGCCAGCCATCCTAACCTGTGTATCTCTCTAGGTATTCCCAGCCGGGTGTATGGGAGGCATACCTAGGCCTTCACATCCAGAAGCAGAACACTAAGAACGTTCAGAAGAGGAACCTACGTCAGGTGATCCCCCACCCCTACTACAACGCCTACACCTTCGACAACGACGTGGCTCTGATGGAGCTCGACAGCCCTGTGACGTTCTCTGAATACATCAGACCCATCTGTCTGCCCTCGCCCCAACACACCTTCCCCCCGGGCAACTCTGTCTGGATCACGGGTTGGGGCGCCACACGAGAGGGAGGTGAGTCAGAATGGGGGTGGTCTCTGCCTTCATATACAGCATTAGTTACTATGTACTGCATAATATTTTAGTTTATTGCTGTGTAGCTATAATTATTTAATAGCAATGTTATAGTATGTTTTGAATTAGCTTTCTGCTACATATGAATACAAACATGTTGCATGAAGATGTTCCCAAACAGTTAGAGATTGATAATATGCTCCCACTCCCTGATAATATGCTCCCACTTCCTGATAATATGCTCCCACTTCCTGATAATATGCTCCCACTTCCTGATATGCTCCCACTTCCTGATAATATGCTCCCACTTCCTGATAATATGCTCCCACTTCCTGATAATATGCTCCCACTCCCTGATAATATGCTCCCACTTCCTGATAATATGCCCCCACTCCCTGATAATATGCTCCCACTCCCTGATAATATGCTCCCACTTCCTGATAATATGCTCCCACTTCCTGATAATATGCTCCCACTCCCTGATAATATGCTCCCACTTCCTGATAATATGCCCCCACTCCCTGATAATATGCTCCCACTTCCTGATAATATGCTCCCCACTCCCTGATAATATGCTCCCACTCCTGATAATATGCTCCCACTCCCTGATAATATGCTCCCACTCCTGATAATATGCTCCCACTCCCTGATAATATGCTCCCACTCCCTGATAATATGCTCCCACTCCCTGATAATATGCTCCCACTCCCTGATAATATGCTCCCACTCCCTGATAATATGCTCCCACTCCCTGATAATATGCTCCCACTCCCTGATAATATGCTCCCACTCCCTGATAATATGCTCCCACTCCCTGATAATATGCTCCCACTCCCTGATAATATGCTCCCACTCCCTGATAATATGCTCCCACTCCCTGATAATATGCTCCCACTTCCTGATAATATGCTCCCACTCCCTGATAATATGCTCACACTCCCTGATAATATGCTCCCACTTCCTGATAATATGCCCCCACTCCCTGATAATATGCTCCCACTCCCTGATAATATGCTCCCACTCCCTGATAATATGCTCCCACTCCCTGATAATTGTCATAAATGCTGTAGGTGGGTGTAGTGGTGGAATCAAGCGCAGGACACCGAAGTATAGTCCAAAAGACTTTAGTGGAATATCCAACAAGGAAAACAGAACAAACTTGCCCAAAGGCGAAACTACGCACGTAGGCGACAAACAAAAGGCGCACTACACAGGTGCGTAAAACGCTCCAACACAGTGGAGTAAAGCTCAACCGAGCAAAATAAGGAAATCGACACGCAAACATACGACAGGAACAATCACACACAAACACAGACACACCCAACGAGACTTAAATAGAACACAAATGAGGACTAACTAGACACAGGTGTACAACATCAAGACCAAACCAAACGAACATGAAACATAGATCGGTGGCAGCTAGTACTCCGGGGACGACGACCGCCGATGCCTGCCCGAACCAGGAGGAGGAGCAGCCTCGGCCGAAACCGTGACAATAATATGCTCCCACTCCCTGATAATATGCTCCCACTCCCTGATAATATGCTCCCACTCCCTGATAATATGCTCCCACTTCCTGATAATATGCTCCCACTTCCTGATAATATGCCCCCACTTCCTGATAATATGCTCCCACTCCCTGATAATATGCTCCCACTTCCTGATAATATGCTCCCACTCCCTGATAATATGCTCCCACTCCCTGATAATATGCTCCCACTTCCTGATATGCTCCCACTTCCTGATAATATGCTCCCACTCCCTGATAATATGCTCCCACTTCCTGATAATATGCTCCCACTTCCTGATAATATGCCCCCACTTCCTGCATCATGATAATAACTACTGCATGTGTCTGTATGTTAGGTTCTGGTGCATCCATCCTGCAGAAGGCCCAGGTCCGTATCATCAACAGTACGGTGTGTAACCGTCTGATGGGAGGGCAGATCACCTCCAGGATGATGTGTGCTGGAGTGCTGACTGGAGGAGTGGACGCATGCCAGGTACCTTACTTTGACCTAACTCTCTATCCCGATGAACCAGGCCATACTGTAGGGCTGCCACACAGGGCTCTGGTCAAAAGGAGTGCTGAGTAGGATGAGATATAGCCATACACTAACACTGTCTCTCTCTGTCTCTCCCTCTGTCTCTCCCTCTGTCTCTCCCTCTGTCTCTCTGTCTCTCTCTCTCTGTCTCTCTCTCTCTCTCTGTCTCCCTCTCCCTCTGTCTCTCTGTCTCTCTCTCTCTGTCTCTCTCTCTCTGTCTCTCTCTCTCTGTCTCTCTCTATGTCTCCCTCTGTCTCTCCCTCTGTCTCTCCCTCTCTGTCTCTCTCTCTCTGTCTCTCTGTCTCAGGGGGATTCTGGCGGTCCTCTGTCCAGTCCTGGTGGTAGTCATATGTTCCTGGCTGGAGTGGTGAGTTGGGGCGACGGCTGTGCCCGTAGGGACAAGCCTGGAATCTATACCACTGTCACCAAGTTCAGGGGCTGGATCAAGGAGAAGACCGGCGTGTAACAGGAAACGGGAAACCATTAGGAACGATGAGGACGTCCGACGACGAACACACCAGTACTGTACAGATTACCGGTTGGCCAAGACTCACCCGCTACCCACTTCCATTCTCTAAGAGTGATGAACTATTTTAGAAGTTTTGATCTCAGGCCTCAAAATGCACTCCCTTTCATATCGATGGACTGTGGACCATTGGTTGGTTTTCTCTGTTGAAAGGCATCGCCTTAATGTCTAAATGTGTATTTTAATGACGGGTGTCTGAATGTCTAAATGTGTCTTTTTAATGAGGTGGGATAGGTGGTTTGGGGAAAGTGTTTTAAGAATTGTAAATAATGTCTAATTAATTGTGTGCGTCTTTTTATATATATTTGTTTTGCAATCGGTCGTTTGGATTGGATGCACATTTGCTTAAGTACGATTTAGGACATTTTAGGAAAGAACTATAGAACACTGTTACATATAAGGAGACAATGTCCTGTTGCTTGTTTTGTCATTGTATTTCAATAATTTGCCCATAGTTTATTTTCTCTTACATATTTTAGAACAGTGGCTTAAATGTGAATTCAGTCTCTCTTTTACTTGTTGTCCTTGTACTCATGGGGGTGCATCCCAAATAGCACCCTATTCCCTATGAAGTACACTACTTTTGACCAGGGTCCAATAGGGCTCTGTTTAAAGGTATTCCACTATGTAGGGAAGAGGGTGCTATTTGGGATCCAGACAGTGACCCCCACCTCCTATGATTTGGTATTTGACACAATCGTTTGTTGAAATACCAGGCAGTCCTGACGTGACATGATGATGACTAATGTGCCTTTTTTAAAGTGTGATACTTTTGTATTTCTCATCAGGGATTTTATTTCATTTTGATCCGACGTAAACACTTTTATTACAGAATAAAGCTCCATTAGAGTTTATAAAACCCATGTCTTTAGTTTAGCATATACATGGATTGATTTCACAACAACTTTGAGGACATAGAAATGATCCAATTTAGCTTAGAAATAAAACATTATTAAGCTTTTATCAAATCAACCACTTACTGTAATTGTTTTATACATGTAAGTGTTTGAAAATAAATATGAACAATTAGTCTTTCATGGCTTTTCTCAGTAGATGTTATATTCTGATTACCCAGCACAGCATTTGACGTCCCTGAAAACACACCAGTTGACACTAGAGCCCCGTCCATCTTCACTCCTCCTTCACTCCTCCTTCACTCCTCCTTCACTCCTCCTTCACTCCATCTTCACTCCTCCTTCTGCAGATACACTTCCACTCTCTGGTTCTCTACTGCTGTAAACCTGCAGGTCCTGTAAGATACTAGCCTGTGGGAATGAATGCACAAACACAGGCTTGTTTTTAGTCTTGTGCTACCAGACGTCACACAGACAACTGGGGTCGTAGGCTTTTTTAGTGTTCTTTTAGCAATTTCAATTTTAGTCGAATGAATTCAGATTTGAAGGAGAGTTGAATACAAAATGAATCCAGAAACTCATCAGTGTTGTGTCGATGTAGTGATGCTATTTACCCCTGGTGTCTGGGTAGTTGTGCAAGTATCAGATGACTGATCCGAATGCTTCTCTTCCTCCAGGCCAAGTACAGGAGACGTTGAGAGTAGAAGTGAAGTGACATGGTTCTGAACGCCGTAACAGGGTGGTCTATGGAAACCATGAACTGGTACATCTGATGGGGCTCAAACTGCACCAGGGAAGGACTAGACACAATTGTCAACGGCACGTTAAGAGTTGGCAAGAAGATTCATCAGATAAAGACATTGGCTACATCCCAAATGGCACCCTGTTCCCTATATAGTGCACAACATTAGGGCCCTATGGGGAGTATATAGTGCACCGTATAGGGTCCCGTTTTGAGATGCACCCATTAACAACTGAAGAACCAGATGACAGTCTCTCACCCGGACACCAACATGACGGGTGTTTTCCTGACGTGTCCCTTCAGCTGAATGAATAGCTGGGCTCCTAATGAGACGTTCCCCTCCAGGTGCACCTCCAACAGGAACGGCGTCACTAGAAGGGACATAAAAGCAGGTTAACCAAACTGTTCTCGCAGTTGTTCAAGCGACTGTAACTGTGTGACACTGTCAGTGTGTGTGTGTGTGTGTGTCCTGAGTTCCTGACCACAGAAAGGGTCCGTTGCTGTGATGTCCAGGACAGCGGTCAGGGGCTGGAAGGTGATTGGTCGATCCGGAGGCAGCCAGCTGATGTCGTAGCCTATAGGAGAGAATAACCAATAGCTGACGGTATCTTGATGATGAAACATCCCTCATTGATATTGCCCATCATCAACTCCAGTTTCTGCATGTGTGAAAGACTCCTCTTTGTTCAGAGAGAAAATGTGTCGGAGAGCTATACAGTCTACATTATCTTGTATTTTACCCAGCCGGGGGCAGGTGTTGAGGCAGGGCAGTGTGTATTTTACCCAGCTGGGGGCAGGTGTTGAGGCAGGGCAGTGTGTATTTTACCCAGCCGGGGGCAGGTGTTGAGGCAGGGCAGTGTGTATTTTACCCAGCTGGGGGCAGGTGTTGAGGCAGGGCAGTGTGTATTTTACCCAGCTGGGGGCAGGTGTTGAGGCAGGGCAGTGTGTATTTACCCAGCTGGGGGCAGGTGTTGAGGCAGGGTGGTTTACAGCTGGGGCAGGGTTTGGCAGGAGGTGCTTTTACCCAGCGGGGGCGTGTTGAGAGGGCAGGATGTGTATTGTAAACCCAGCCGGGGCAGGTGTGTGATGCCAGGCAAGTTAATTTTACCCAAACTGGGCAGGTTGAGGCCAGGGCAGGGTTATTTTATCCCAGCTGGAGGTGTTGAGGCAGGGTGAGTTTATTTTACCCAGCGGGCAGGTTTGATCCGGGCAGTATGATTTTTCCACTGGGAGGTGTTGAGGCCAAGGGCTGTGTATTTTACACTGGGCAGGTTTGAGCAAGGGCAGTTGTTTTTTCCACGGAGTGTTGAGGCAGAGGCAGTGTGTATTTTACAGCCGGGGTCAGGTGTTATGCCAGGGCATAGTATTTTAACCATCTGGGGCAGTTGGCCAGGCAGTGTGATTACCCAGCTGGGGCAGGTGTTGAGCAGGGCAGGTGTTTATTACCACCGTGGGCAGGTGTTGATGCCAGGGCAGTGTGTATTTTACCCAGCTGGGGCAGGTGTTGAGGCAGGGCAGTGTGTATTTTACCCAGCTGGGGGCAGGTGTTGAGGCAGGGCAGTGTGTATTTTACCCAGCCGGGGGCAGGTGTTGAGGCAGGGCAGTGTGTATTTTACCCAGCCGGGGGCAGGTGTTGAGGCAGGGCAGTGTGTATTTTACCCAGCTGGGGGCAGGTGTTGAGGCAGGGCAGTGTGTATTTTACCCAGCTGGGGGCAGGTGTTGATGCCAGGGCAGTGTGTATTTTACCCAGCTGGGGGCAGGTGTTGAGGCAGGGCAGTGTGTATTTTACCCAGCCGGGGGCAGGTGTTGAGGCCAGGGTGGTGACAGCGGGTACAGAGAGCTCTCTGGAAGTCCTCCACTCCCTGACAGGGGAAGGCTGTGAGAGGGCAGGAGGATCGGATGGAGCTGGTGAACAACCTGTAGGCCCGGTGGTGACTGCACAGCAAGTAATCCTCCCCTGTAACGCACACACACCAACACGCAGGTTGACCTTTATTCAGGTTGACCTTTATTCAGGTTGACCTTTATTCAGGTTGACCTTTATTCAGGTTGACCTTTATTCAGGTTGACCTTTATTCAGGTTGATCTTTATTCAGGTTGACCTTCATTCAGCTGAATCTTGTCCTGGATGCAGAACTGAGCCATTTCCACTAGATGTGCTAGCTGCAAAGTCCAAAATTGCTATATATCTTACAAATTCATGAAAAACAAAACATTTGCTTTTTGATCTTAATTTAAGGTTAAGGTTAGGCATAATGTTAGCAGTGTGGTTAGGGTTAAAAATCCGATTTTATGACTTTGTGGCTGTGCCAGCTAGTGATGACCCTGTAGAGCTGCCTCAAATATACAGTTGAAGTCGGAAGTTTACGTACACCTTAGCCAAATATATTTAAACTCAGTTTTTCACAATTTCTGACATTTATTCCTAGTAAAACTTCCCTGTCTTAGGTCAGTTAGGATCACAACTTTATTTTAAGAATGTGAAATGTCAGAATAATAGTAGAGAGTGATTTATTTCAGCTTTTATTTCTTTCATCACATTCCCAGTGGGTCAGAAGTTTACATACACTGAATTAGTATTTGGTAGCATTGGCTTTAAATTGTTTAACTTGGGTCAAACGTTTCGGGTAGCCTTCCACAAGCTTCCCACAATAAGTTGGGTGAATTTTGGCCAATTCCTCCTGACAGAGCTGGTGTAACTGAGTCAGGTTTGTAGGCCTCCTTGCTCTCACACGCTTTTTCAGTTCTGCCCACAAATGTTCTATAGGATTGAGGTCAGGGCTTTGTGATGGCCACTCCAATACCTTGACATTGTTGTCCTTAAGCCATTTTGCCACAACTTTGGAAGTATGCTTGGGGTCATTGTCCATTTGGAAGACCCATTTGCGACCAAGCTTTAACTTCCTGACTGAAGTCTTGAGATGTTGCTTCAATATATCCACATAATTTTCCTTCCTCATGATGCCATCTATTTTGTGAAGTGCACCAGTCCCTCCTGCAGCAAAACACACCCACAGCATGATGCTGCCACCCCCGTGCTTCACGGTTGGGATGGTTTTCTTCGGTTCGCAAGCGTCCCCCTTTTTCCTCCAAACATAACGATGGTCATTATGGCCAAACAGTTCTATTTTTGTTTCATCAGACCAGAGGACATTTCTCCAAAAAGTACAATCTTTGTCCCCATGTACAGTTGCAAACCGTAATCTGGCTTTTTTATGGCGGTTTTGGAGCAGTGGCTTCTTCCTTGCTGAGCAGCATTTCAGGTTATGTCAATATAGGACACGTTTTACTGTGGATATAGATACTTTTGTACCTGTTTCCTCCAGCATCTTCAAAAGGTCCTTTGCTGTTGTTCTGGGATTGATTTGCACTTTTCGCACCAAAGTACGTTCATCTCTAGGAGACAGAACGCGTCTCCTTCCTGAGCGGTATGACGGCTGCGTGGTCCCATGGTGTTTATACTTGCGTACTATTATTTGTACAGATGAACGTGATACCTTCAGGTGTTTGGAAATTGCTCCCAAGGATGAACCAGACTTGTGGAGATCTACAAAAATTTTTTCTGAGGTCTTGGCTGATTTCTTTTGATTTTCCCATGATGTCAAGCAAAGAGGCACTGAGTTTGAAGGTAGGCCTTGAAATACATCCACAAGTACGCCTCCAATTGACTCAAATGATGTCAATTAGCCTATCAGAAGCTTCTAAAGCCATGACATCATCTTCTGGACTTTTCCAAGCTGTTTAAAGGCACAGTCAACTTAGTGTATGTAAACTTCTGACCCACTGGAATTGTGATACAGTGAATTATAAGTGAAATAATCTGTCTGTAAACAATTGTTGGAAAAATTACTTGTGTCATGCACAAAGTAGATGTCCTAACTGACTTGCCAAAACTATAGTTTGTTAACAAGACATTTGTGGAGTGGTTGAAAAACGAGTTTTAATGACTCCAACCTAAGTGAATGTAAACTTCCGACTTCAACTGTATAAGTCATCCCAACCTCCTTGTTATAGTAGATAGCTAAGGGAGGTCACATGGGCCCCAGGCATGATGTTTGTCATAATATTATAGATGATAAAAAACCTGGCACACACTTTTCATGAGAGCCTGAGGACAACCTGGGAGTTGATGTCCTCTGCCGATGTAGAAATCAACATGACCCAACGGTCTGGAAACCCCCAGGGGAGCTACCGGCTCATTGGCTGAAAATACACCAGGTAATGAACTCACTGATTGGTTAAAAATATCTAAATGGTGTACTATACTATTAGGTGTAACTACATGGCTTATTAGGTGTGTTTAAAGTTCCTCACGGTTGAAGTTGGTGTGAATCACATCCACGTACTGGGCATCAGTGGGATCCAGGGACAGGCTTCTGTCTGCCTCAGAAAACAGTGGTGAGAAGGGATCCAGGCCTGAGTTGGATCAGAACACATAAAAAGAAAAGAACAAAACACTATTTGACCTGTCAGTTCCTCTGAAACTCAGATTGGACTGTTACCAGATGTAACCCTGTATCATGTTCTGTCTCAGTACCTGTGATCCTGCCAATAGCTCCCTCCAAACAGGCCCCAGCCACACCGGCTACATGGGCCCCAACACCAAACCCTACCAGGTGGAACAGCTCTGGAGAAGAGCCCTGGTCCTCCTGGGGAATAAACATCAACACCTCAACATCCTGGTCCTCCTGGGGAATAAACACCAACACCTCAACATCCTGGTCCTCCTGGGGAATAAACACCAACACCTCAACATCCTGGTCCTCCTGGGGAATAAACACCAACACCTCAACATCCTGGTCCTCCTGGGGAATAAACACCAACACCTCAACATCCTGGTCCTCCTGGGGAATAAACACCAACACCTCAACATCCTGGTCCTCCTGGGGAATAAACACCAACACCTCAACATCCTGGTCCTCCTGGGGAATAAAAAACCAACCCTCACATCCTGGTCCTCCTGGGGAATAAACATCAACACCTCAACATCCTGGTCCTCCTGGGGAATAAACATCAACACCTCAACATCCTGGTCCTCCTGGGGAATAAACACCAACACCTCAACATCCTGGTCCTCCTGGGGAATAAACACCAACACCTCAACATCCTGGTCCTCCTGGGGAATAAACATCAACACCTCAACATCCTGGTCCTCCTGGGGAATAAACACCAACACCTCAACATCCTGGTCCTCCTGGGGAATAAACATCAACACCTCAACATCCTGGTCCTCCTGGGGAATAAACATCAACACCTCAACATCCTGGTCCTCCTGGGGAATAAACACCAACACCTCAACATCCTGGTCCTCCTGGGGAATAAACACCAACACCTCAACATCCTGGTCCTCCTGGGGAATAAACACCAACACCTCAACATCCTGGTCCTCCTGGGGAATAAACACCAACACCTCAACATCCTGGTCCTCCTGGGGAATAAACACCAACACCTCAACATCCTGGTCCTCCTGGGGAATAAACACCAACACCTCAACATCCTGGTCCTCCTGGGGAATAAACACCAACACCTCAACATCCTGGTCCTCCTGGGGAATAAACACCAACACCTCAACATCCTGGTCCTCCTGGGGAATAAACACCAACCCTCAACATCCTGGTCCTCCTGGGGAATAAACACCAACACCTCAACATCCTGGTCCTCCTGGGGAATAAACACCAACACCTCAACATCCTGGTCCTCCTGGGGAATAAACACCAACACCTCAACATGTCTACTACACTATAACAGAGTTAGTCTTGTTCAATTTGGGCCAGTTTCCCTGACCCAGTTAAAGCATATTACTGGACAAAAAAATCATTGGCCACCTTCTACCCAGTGTGGAACATGTCCCCACCTGTAGTGTCTGTATGGCCTGTGTCCCCACCTGTAGTGTCTGTATGGCCTGTGTCCCCACCTGTAGTGTCTGTATGGCCTGTGTCCCCACCTGTAGTGTCTGTGTGGCCTGTGTCCCCACCTGTAGTGTCTGTATGGCCTGTGTCCCCACCTGTAGTGTCTGTGTGGCCTGTGTCCCCACCTGTAATGTCTGTGTGGCCTGTGTCCCCACCTGTAATGTCTGTGTGGCCTGTGTCCCCACCTGTAATGTCTGTGTGGCCTGTGTCCCCACCTGTAGTGTCTGTGTGGCCTGTGTCCCCACCTGTAATGTCTGTGTGGCCTGTGCCCCCACCTGTAATGTCTGTGTGGCCTGTGCCCCCACCTGTAGTGTCTGTATGGCCTGTGTCCCCACCTGTAATGTCTGTATGGCCTGTGTCCCCACCTGTAGTGTCTGTATGGCCTGTGTCCCCACCTGTAGTGTCTGTATGGCCTGTGCCAGCCTCTCTCCCACCTGCCTGGCTCCTTCGGTGATCTCCTGCTCTGGGGGCAGCAGCCAATCAGCTACCAGGACATTAACCAGCCCCGCCTCCAACAGCTCCCCCGCCATCACCCTCGCCCAGCTGGGCTGCAGCCTGGCTGGCCTCCTGCCCGGGACGATCACTACCGTGGGGCACAGGGGGCTCCAGGCCACAGGACCAGGGGCCAGTCCTGGGAGGCCTGGTGGAGGAGAGAGGTCTAAGGGGGAACCACAGGGACCCTGCTCAGAGGAGAAGCTGAGGAGCCTCACCAGAGGAGAGGGAGGACTGAGACAGAGGAACTCAGAGCAGTGGGCATGTTGGGCACCTGGGAGAAGAGAATATCTGTAAACATCAATCATGTTGTTAACAGATGACTGTATTTTAGGTTATTGTGAGGACTTCTCCCCAGTTAATCATGATTAGGCAGCTGCTAGTGTTGGAAAATTTGAGTTTTTAATTTGAATTGACCTCTAATGTGCATCTGAGCTAATCACACAGTAATCACCCCCATAGTACCTGTGGCAGGACCAGACAGAAGACAGAAGATCAGTAGAGACCAGACGACCAGGCTGCTGTCAGCTCCAGCGTTCTCCACACTGCCACCTGTTCTCTCCATCACTCCAGCAACAATGCAAATCTCCCTCCCTGCTCTACAGCCTTCTGTCCTCTGACACTGATAAGCCTCAGCGGAGGTGGAGACTGGAGTGTTTCTGATGCAAATACAGTAGAGAACAGTAGAGCTTTTGTGAGCCAGCCCTTTCTTGATCAGTGGGCCTCCTGTAGCTCAGTTGGTAGAGCATGGCGCTTGCAACGCCAGGGTTGTGGGTTCGATTCCCACGGGGGGGCAGTATGAAAAATGTATGCACTCACTTAACTGTAAGTCGCTCTGGATAAGAGCGTCTGCTAAAATGACTAAAATGTAAATGTGCAGAGTGATACTTAAACTATAAAGAATGAAGTTCAAGATGTTTCTAAAATGAATAATTGCAACCGGTTAAATTATCTGAATATTGCATGTGTTTGCTGTTACATTTACATACATTTTACATTTTACATTTTAGTCATTTAGCAGACGCTCTTATCCAGAGCGACTTACAGGAGCAATTAGGGTTAAGTGCCTTGCTCAAGGGCACATTTACGTCATTTAGCAGACGCTCTAGTCCAGAGCGACTCACAATTTGATGCATTCACCCTATAGCCAGTGGGATAACCCTTTACATTTTTATTTATTATTTTTATTTATTTTTTTGGGGGGGGGGGGGGGGGGGGGTAGAAGGATTACTTTATCCTATCCCAGGTATTCCTTAAAGAGGTGGGGTTTCAAATGTCTCCGGAAGGTGGTGAGCGACTCCGCTGTGTGTGGGGGAGGGGGGGGGGGGGTAGAAGGATTACTTTATCCTATCCCAGGTATTCCTTAAAGAGGTGGGGTTTCAAATGTCTCCGGAAGGTGGTGAGGACTCCGCTGTGGGTGGGGGGGGGGGTAGAAGGATTACTTTATCCTATCCCAGGTATTCCTTAAAGAGGTGGGGTTTCAAATGTCTCCGGAAGGTGGTGAGCGACTCCGCTGTGTGTGTGGGGGGGGGTGTAGAAGGATTGCTTTATCCTATCCCAGGTATTCCTTAAAGAGGTGGGGTTTCAAATGTCTCCGGAAGGTGGTGAGCGACTCCGCTGTGTGTGGGGGGGGGGGGTAGAAGGATTACTTTATCCTATCCCAGGTATTCCTTAAAGAGGTGGGGTTTCAAATGTCTCCGGAAGGTGGGTGAGCGACTCCGCTGTGTGTGGGGGAGGGGGGGGGGGGGGGGTAGAAGGATTACTTTATCCTATCCCAGGTATTCCTTAAAGAGGTGGGGTTTCAAATGTCTCCGGAAGGTGGTGAGCGACTCCGCTGTGTGTGGGGGAGGGGGGGGGGGGGGGGGTAGAGGATTACTTTATCCTATCCCAGGTATTCCTTAAAGAGGTGGGGTTTCAAATGTCTCCGGAAGGTGGTGAGCGACTCCGCTGTGTGTGTGGGGGGGGGGTAGAAGGATTGCTTTATCCTATCCCAGGTATTCCTTAAAGAGGTGGGGTTTCAAATGTCTCCGGAAGGTGGTGAGTGACTCCGCTGTCCTGGCGTCGTGAGGGAGCTTGTTCCACCATTGGGGTGCCAGTGTTCACAAGCAACATAACCTAAGAACTAAACATGGTTTGAGATTTCATTATTTTTTTTTATCCAATAAAGTATTTGATTTGTCAATGTGAAATAAATCAACTTCACCATGCGGAACTATATACCCGATGGCAGCAGTTTTCATCGGACAATAGTTTGGACGGACCGTCGTTATTATTGTTCCGCTGCAAACTTTGTCAATCGTTTGTATGTATTTTCCTGTTGGCGCTATCTTGAATATTGATCTGATGAAACAGGAAAGCATAACCCAGACAGAATACTGGATTGATTATGCGTATTTGGATTATTAAAGAAATGAAATCAAGATAACCTGTAGCTATAGCTAGCTTACACATTATTTATCTTGAATGCAGAGGAGTTGCTAGCTAGTAGCGAACTGCTCTACTAGTAGCTAACTAAGTCAGACTTCTATGTTGGAGACCCTTGACTATTGAGTGTGTCTAGCTAGCCTTATTGACTTACTAATCATCTGGTTGACTTGACGTCAGAATCGCGAGTGTGTGTTATATAAAGTTGTAACGTTAGAGATGTCGGAGAGGAGGAGGGACAGCCGTAGCTGGGACTGGGACAGCCCTCAGTGCCGAGCTCAGATGGATCAGATTTTCTTCCGCCAGCATGACTACATCCAGAACGGAACCACGGAACACAAAGAGTTCTGGGGCTTCTTCGACCGCTTCCAGAGGTTCAAAACCAGGAAGGACATGTCAGGGGGCAGCACGAAGGAAGACATGGAGGAGGGCAGAGACAGGAAGAAGACTGTAGATCTGGGTCTGCCTAAGGAATATGACGCCCGCTATCGGATCAACGTGTCCGTTTGTACCAAAGACGCAGAGGAGAGGCTGGAGACGGGGAGGTCTGATCAGAGACACAGCCACAGACAGAGCTCCTCCGGCCCAGGGAGTCAGGTGGTCGCTGACTGTCGCCTGGCGTTGCTGCACTTCCTGGACTTCAGCCAAAGGCAGAGCTTTGGGAAGCTGGTCAAGCTGAGGACGGAGCAGAAAGCCCTTCCTATCTTCCAGTACCGGGACCGGATCGTGGAGTTGGTGCGGGCCAACCCGGTAGTAGTGGTGGCGGGGGATACAGGCTGTGGGAAGTCCACCCAGGTCCCCCAGTACCTCCTCTCCTCTGGGTTCAGTCACATAGCCTGCACTCAGCCTCGACGGATCGCCTGTATCTCCCTCGCCAAGAGGGTCAGCTTCGAGAGTCTCAACCAGTACGGCTCCAAGGTAGGTGGCAGTGCAGCTAGAACTTGTTTATTTACAGTCTTGAAAAATAGTTTTTGGGGAATCACGCTTGGACAGGGATATCAAACAAATGTCATTATTTTCAAACAATAATACGTGTTCTATTTCTCTGAAATAGATGATTTTGTCACAATCTTGTACACTTTACACAAAGTCCAAAAACCAACACCCAGACATTTAGCAGACCTACAAGCAGATGAACCCAAACTGACACACAGCTGTGTTTTATCTGCAGGTTGGGTACCAGATCCGTTTTGAGGGGACCCGTACCCCGTCCACCAAGCTGTTGTTCCTGACAGAGGGGTTACTACTGAGACAGATCCAGGCTGACCCGGCCCTGGAGCAGTACCAGGTAATAGAATATATAGTACCAGTCAAAAGTTTGGACACACCTACTAATTCAAGGGTTTTTCTTTATTTTTACTATTTTCTACATTGTAGAATAATAGTGAAGACATCAAAACTATGAAATAACACATATGGAATCATGTAGTAACCAAAAAAAGTGTTAAACAAATCTAAATCTATTTTATATTTGAGATTCTTCAAAGTAGCCACTGCACTTAGCTTTGCACACTCTTGGCATTCTCTCAACCAGCTTCATGAGGTAGTCACCTGGACTGCATTTCAATTAACAGGTGTGCCTTCTTAAAAGTTAAGTTGTGTAATATAATATATACTAGGTAATATAATATATGCCAGATAAATATAATATATACCAGGTAATATAATATATAATGTAATATATAGCATGTAATATAATATATAATAAATACCAGGAAATATAATATACAGCGCCTTCGGAAAGTATTCAGATCCCTTGATTCTTTACACATTTTGTTACGTTACAGCCTTATTCTAAAATGTAAATTTAAAAATCCCTCATTAATCTACACACAATACCCCATAATGACAAAGTGAAAACAAAGGTCCCACAATTGACAATGCATGTCAGAGCAAAAACACTCCTCAGTAAAAGGCACATGAAATCCCACTTGGAGTTTGCCAAAAGGCCCCTAAAGACTCTCAGACCATGAGAAACAAGATTGTCTGCTCTGATGAAACCAAGATTGAACTCTTTGACCTGAATGCCAAGCGTCACATCTGGAGGAAGCCTGGCACCATCCCTAAGGTGAAGCAATTTTTTTTATAAATTTGCAAACAATTCTAAAAACCTGTTTTTGCTTTGTCATTATGGGGTATTGTGTATAGATTGCTGATTTTTTTTTTTTTTTAAATAAATGTTAAAATAAGGCTGTAACGTAACAAAATGTGGAAAAACTATTTCCAAATGCACTGTATATGCAAGGTAATATAATATATACCAGGAAATATAATATATAGCAGGTAAATATAATATAATATATACCAGGGATTGTAATATATAATATAATATATAGCAGGTAAATATAATATATACCAGGTAATACTGTATAACATATAATATATACCAGGTAATATAATATATACCAGGTAATTCAGTATAACATATAATATAATATATACCAGGTAATATAATATATACCAGGTAATACTGTATAATATAATATATACCAGGTAATACTGTATAACATATAATATATACCAGGTAATATAATATATACCAGGTAATACTGTATAACATATAATATATACCAGGTAATATAATATATACCAGGTATTGTAATATATAATATATACCAGGTAATATAATATATACCAGGTATTGTAATATATAATATAATATATATCAGGTAAATATAATATATACCAGGTATTGTAATATATAATATATATCAGGTAAATATAATATATACCAGGTATTGTAATATATAATATAATATATACCAGGTATTGTAATATATAATATAATATATAGCAGGTAAATATAATTGATTTACACTGAGTGTACAAAACATTAACATTACACTGATTTGAAGTGGATTTAACAAGTGACATCAATAAGGGATCATAGCCTTCACCTGGATTCACCTGGTCAGTCTATGTCATGGAAAGAGCAGGTGTTCTTAATTTTTTTGTCCACCCAGTGTGTTACTAAAACCAACTAGCCCCGAAGCAGTACCAGGTAATATAACATATTATAAACCAGGTCGTTTGGGTCCTGGATGCTGATTGGCTGAAACAGCATTTCAGTCGTGTGTACAGTACCAGTCAAAAGTTTGGACACACCTACTCATTCAATGGTTTTTCTTTATTTGTAAAAAATGTTTACATTGTAGAATAATAGTGAAGACATCAAAACTATGAAATAACACATATGGAGTCATGTAGTAACCAAAAAAGTGTTAAAACAAATCAAAATATATTTTATATGTGAGATTCTTAAAATAGCCACCCTTTGCCTTGATGACAGATTTGTCCCAATTGTGCCCATAGCGCAGGGTTCTTCAATTCTGGTCCTGGAGGGCCGAAACACTTCTGTTTTTTATTTCTACCTGGTAGTTAATTGCACTCACCTGGTGTCCCAGGTCTGAATTAGCCCCTGATTAGAAGGAGAGGATGAAAAACAGAGGTGTTTCGGCCCTCCAGGACCGGAATTGAAGAACCCTGCCATAGCGGCTCTGGTCAAAAGTAGTGCACTATATAGGGAATATGGTGCCATTCTCTGGTCTAAAGTAGTGCACTATATAGGGAATAGGGTGCTATTCTCTGGTCTAAAGTAGTGCACTATATAGGGAATAGGGTGCCATTCTCTGGTCTAAAGTAGTGCACTATATAGGGAATAGGGTGCCATTCTCTGGTCTAAAGTAGTGCACTATATAGGGAATAGGGTGCCATTCTCTGGTCTAAAGTAGTGCACTATATAGGGAATAGGGTGCCATTCTCTGGTCTAAAGTAGTGCACTATATAGGGAATAGGGTGCCATTCTCTGGTCTAAAGTAGTGCACTATATAGGGAATAGGGTGCCATTCTCTGGTCTAAAGTAGTGCACTATATAGGGAATAGGGTGCCATTCTCTGGTCTAAAGTAGTGCACTATATAGGGAATAGGGTTCCATTCTCTGGTCTAAAGTAGTGCACTATGTAGGGAATAGGGTGCCATTCTCTGGTCTAAAGTAGTGCACTATATAGGGAATAGGGTGCCATTCTCTGGTCTAAAGTAGTGCACTATATAGGGAATAGGGTGCCATTCTCTGGTCTAAAGTAGTGCACTATGTAGGGAATAGGGTGCCATTCTCTGGTCTAAAGTAGTGCACTATATAGGGAATAGGGTGCCATTCTCTGGTCTAAAGTAGTGCACTATATAGGGAATAGGGTGCCATTCTCTGGTCTAAAAGTAGTGCACTATATAGGGAATAGGGTGCTATTCTCTGGTCTAAAGTAGTGCACTATAGAGGGAATAGGGTGCCATTCTCTGGTCTAAAGTAGTGCACTATATAGGGAATAGGGTGCCATTCTCTGGTCTAAAGTAGTGCTCTATATAGGGAATAGGGTGCCATTCTCTGGTCTAAAGTAGTGCTCTATATAGGGAATAGGGTGCCATTTGGGACGCATCCTAGCCGTTCCGTAACCTGTCTGTGTGTGGATCTACCTCCCTCCCTCCCTGTTGCACCCAGGTTTTGATTGTTGACGAGGTGCATGAGAGACACCTCCACTGTGACTTCCTCCTGGGAGTACTGCGCTCCCTCCTGGCCGCCCGCCCCGACCTCCGCCTGGTCCTCATGTCCGCCACCATCAACATCAAACTCTTCTCCAGCTACTTTAATACTGCACCTGTGCTGCAGGTCCCGGGCAGGCTCTTCCCTATACAGGTGAGAGGACAAACACATTTTAAACCTCTCCTCCTGGAACCCCCTTCAGACATGTTTTGTTGTTGCCCTGAACCAGCTCACCTGATTGACCTAGTCAAGGGGCTTGATGATTAGTTGACAAGTGGAATCAGGTGTGCTCTGGAATAGTTCAAATACATGGAACGGCTTGGGGTTCCCAGGGAGAGGTTTGAAAACCTCTGGACTAGGCTATGTCATAGGTATAGGAGTAGGCAGTACTTAAGAGATATTGTGTAATGTCTAGCAAACTGCAGATCCTATCTGTGGTTACGAATGCCCACCATAAGCTTTAGTGACAGTCAAGAAAAGCACAATCCTTGCATTCATAGCTCTGCCTTCCATTCATAGCTCTGCCTTCCATTCATAGCTCTGCCTTCCATTCATAGCTCTGCCTTCCATTCATAGCTCTGCCTTCCATTCATAGCTCTGCCTATGAATTCTAAAGTGGTTAGGCCTACATTTCTCTAGTCCTATTTTTCATTCTGCCAAACAAAGTGGCAGGGTCAGGCTGTTGAAATTAAAGATTGGGCCTTTCAGTGACAGCTGTTGTTTAATAAATAGTAATGATTGGGCCTTTCAGTGACAGCTGTTGTTTAATACACTGCTCAAAAAAATAAAGGGAACACTTAAACAACACAATGTAACTCCAAGTCAATCACACTTCTGTGAAATCAAACTGTCCACTTAGGAAGCAACACTGATTGACAAATGTCACATGCTGTTGTGCAAATGGAAGAGACAACAGGTGGAAATTATAGGCAATTAGCAAGACACCCCCAATAAAGGACTGGTTTTGCAGGTGGTGACCACAGACCACTTCTCAGTTCCTATGCTTCCTGGCTGATGTTTTGGTCACTTTTGAATGCTGGCGGTGCTTTCACTCTAGTGGTAGCATGAGACAGAGTCTACAACCCACACAAGTGACTCAGGTAGTGCAGCTCATCCAGGATGGCACATCAATGCGAGCTGTGGCAAGAAGGTTTGCTGTGTCTGTCAGCGTAGTGTCCAGAGCATGGATGCGCTACCAGGAGACAGGCCAGTACATCAGGAGACGTGGAGGAGGCCGTAGGAGGGCAATAACCCAGCAGCAGGACTGCTACCTCCGCCTTTGTGCAAGAAGGAGTAGGAGGAGCACTGCCAGAGCCCTGCAAAATGACCTCCAGCAGGCCACAAATGTGCATGTGTCTGCTCAAATGGTCAGAAACAGACTCCATGAGGGTGGTATGAGGGCCCGACGTCCACAGGTGGGGGTTGTGCTTACAGCCCAACACCGTGCAGGACGTTTGGCATTTGCCAGAGAACACCAAGATTGGCAAATTCGCCACTGGCGCCCTGTGCTCTTCACAGATGAAAGCAGGTTCACACTGAGCACATGTGACAGACGTGACAGAGTCTGGAGATGCCGTGGAGAACGTTCTGCTGCCTGCAACATCCTCCAGCATGACCGGTTTGGCGGTGGGTCAGTCATGGTGTGGGGTGGCATTTCTTTGGGGGGCCGCACAGCCCTCCATGTGCTCGCCAGAGGTAGCCTGACTGCCATTAGGTACCGAGATGAGATCCTCAGACCCCTTGTGAGACCATATGCTGGTGCGGTTGGCCCTGGGTTCCTCTTAATGCAAGACAATGCTAGACCTCATGTGGCTGGAGTGTGTCAGCAGTTCCTGCAAGAGGAAGGCATTGATGCTATGGACTGGCCCGCCCGTTCCCCAGACCTGAATCCAATTGAGCACATCTGGGACATCATGTCTCGCTCCATCCACCAACGCCACGTTGCACCACAGACTGTCCAGGAGTTGGCGGATGCTTTAGTCCAGGTCTGGGTGGAGATCCCTCAAGAGACCATCCGCCACCTCATCAGGAACATGCCCAGGCGTTGTAGGGAGGTCATACAGGCACGTGGAGGCCACACACACTACTGAGCCTCATTTTGACTTGTTTTAAGGACATTACATCAAAGTTGGATCAGCCTGTAGTGTGGTCTTCCACTTTAATTTTGAGGGTGACTCCAAATCCAGACCTCCATGGGTTGATGAATTTGATTTCCATTGATAATTTTTGTGTGATTTTGTTGTCAGCACATTCAACTATGTAAAGAAAAAAGTATTTAATAAGATTATTTCATTCATTCAGATCTAGGATGTGTTATTTTAGTGTTCCCTTTATTTTTTTGAGCAGTGTATATAGTAATGATTGGGCCTTTCAGTGACAGCTGTTGTTTAATATATAGTAATGATTGGGCCTTTCAGTGACAGCTGTTGTTTAATATACACTACCAGTCAAAAGTTTGGACGCACCTACTCATTAAAGGGTTTTTCTTTATTTTTACAATTGTTTACATTGTAAAATAATAGTGAAGACATCAAAACTATGAATAACACATTATACTTGAGATTCTTCAAATAGCCACCCTTTGCCTTGATGACAGCTTTGCACACTCTTGGCATTCTCTCAACCAGCTTCATGAGGTAGTCACCTGGAATGCATTTCAATTAACAGGTGTGCCGCCTTAAAAGTTAATTTGTGGAATTTCTTTCTTTCTTAATGTGTTTGAGCCAATCAGTTGTGTTGTGACAAGGTGGGGGGGTATATAGAAGATAGCCCTATTTGGTAAAATTCAAAGTCCATATTATGGCAAGAACAGCTCAAATAAGCAAAGAGAATCGACAGTCCATCATTACTTTAAGACATGATGGACAGTCAATACGGAACATTTCTTCAAGTGCAGTCACAAAATCCATCAAGCGCTGTGATGAAACTGGCTCTCATGAGGACCGCGACAGGAATAGAAGACCCAGAGTTACCTCTGCTGCAGAGGATAAGTTCATTAGAGTTACCAGCCTCAGAAATTGTAGGCCAAATAAATGCTTCACAGAGTTCAAGTAACAGACACATCTCAACATCAACTGTTCAGAAGGGACTGTGTGAATCAGGCCTTCATGGTCGAATTGCTGCAAAGAAACCACTACTAAAGGACACCAATAAGAAGAAGAGACCTGCGTGGGCCAAGAAACACGAGCAATGGACATTAGACCGGTGGAAATGTGTCCTTTGATCTGAAGTCCAAATTTGAGATTTTTGGTTCAAACCACTGTGTCTTTGTGAGACGCGGTGTAGGTGAACGGATGATCTCCGCATGTGTAGATCCCACCGTAAAGCATGGAGGAGGAGGTGTTATGGTGTGGGGGTGCTTTGCTGGTGACACTGTCTGTAATTTATTTAGAATTAAATTCACAGTTAACCAGCATGGCTACCACAGCATTCTGCAGCGATACGCCATCCCATCTGGTTTGGGCTTAGTGGGACTATCATTTGTTTTTCGACAGGACAATGACTCAACACACCTCCAGGCTGTGTAAGGGCTATTTGACCAAGAAGGAGAGTGATGGAGTGCTGCATCAGATGATCTGGCCTCCACAATCCCCCGACCTCAACCCAATTGAGATGGTTTGGGATGAGTCGGACGGCAGAGTGAAGGAAAAGCAGCCAACAAGTGCTCAGAATATGTGGGAACTCCTTCAAGACTGTTGGAAAAGCATTCCAGGTGAAGCTGGTTGAGAGAATGCCAAGAGTGTACAAAGCTGTCATCAAGGCAAAGGGTGGCTATTTGAAGAACCTCAAATATAAAATATTTTTTGATTTGTTTAACACTTTTCTGGTTACTACATGATTCCATATGTGTTATTTCATAGTTTTGATGTCTTCACTATTATTCTACAATGTACAAATAAAGAAAAACCCTTGAATGAGTAGGTGTGTCCAAACTTTTGACTGGTACTGTGTAGTAATGCCTCTTCTTAACCACTCTTACCTGTCTCTCCCAGTGATGTCCAGGAACTCACTTTTCTTCTATGGCTGAGTCCCACCCTATTCCCTATATACAGTGAGGGAAAAAAGTATTTGATCCCCTGCTGATTTTGTACGTTTACCTACTGACAAAGAAATGATCAGTCTGTAATTTTAATGGTAGGTTTATTTGAACAGTGAGAGACAGAATAACAACAACAAAATCCAGAAAAACGCATGTCAAAAATGTTATAAATTGATTTGCATTTTAATGAGGGAAATAAGTATTTGACCCCCTCTCAATCAGAAAGATTTCCTGCTCCCAGGTGTCTTTTATACAGGTAACGATCTGAGATTAGGAGCACACTCTTAAAGGGAGTGCTCCTAATCTCAGTTTGTTACCTGTATAAAAGACACCTGTCCACAGAAGCAATCAATCAATCAGATTCCAAACTCTCCACCATGGCCAAGACCAAAGAGCTCTCCAAGGATGTCAGGGACAAGATTGTAGACTTACACAAGGCTGGAATGGGCTACAAGACCATCGCCAAGCAGCTTGGTGAGAAGGTGACAACAGTTGGTGCGATTATTCACAAAGGGAAGAAACACAAAATAACTGTCAATCTCCCTCGGCCTGGGGCTCCATGCAAGATCTCACCTTGTGGAGTTGCAATGATCATGAGAACGGTGAGGAATCAGCCCAGAACTACACGGGAGGATCTTGTCAATGATCTCAAGGCAGCTGGGACCATGGTCACCAAGAAAACAATTGTTAACACACTATGCCGTGAAGGACTGAAATCCTGCAGCGCCCACAAGGTCCCCCTGCTCAAGAAAGCACATATACAGGCCCGTCTGAAGTTTGCCAATGAACATCTGAATGATTCAGAGGAGAACTGGGTGAAAGTGTTGTGGTCAGATGAGACCAAAATGGAGCTCTTTGGCATCAACTCAACTCGCCGTGTTTGGAGGAGGAGGAATGCTGCCTATGACCCCAAGAACACCATTCCCACCGTCAAAGATGGAGGTAGAAACATTATGCTTTGGGGGTGTTTTTCTGCTAAGGGGACAGGACAACTTCACTGCATCAAAGGGACGATGGACGGGGCCATGTACCGTCAAATCTTGGGTGAGAACTTCCTTCCCTCAGCCAGGGCATTGAAAATGGGTCGTGGATGGGTATTCCAGCATGACAATGACCCAAAACACACAGCCAAGGCAACAAAGGAGTGGCTCAAGAAGGAGCACATTAAGGTCCTGGAGTGGCCTAGCCAGTCTCCAGACCTCAATCCCTTAGAAAATCTGTGGAGGGAGCTGATGGTTCGAGTTGCCAAACGTCAGCCTCGAAACCTTAATGACTTGGAGAAGATCTGCAAAGAGAAGTGGGACAAAATCCCTCCTGAGATGTGTGCAAACCTGGTGGCCAACTACAAGAAACGTCTGACCTCTGTTATTGCCAACAAGGGTTTTTCCACCAAGTACTAAGTCATGTTTTGCAGAGGTGTCAAATACTTATTTCCCTCATTAAAATGCAAATCAATTTATAATATTTTTGACATGCGTTTTTCTGGATTTTTTTGTTTTTATTCTGTCTCTCACTGTTCAAATAAACCTACCATTAAAATTATAGACTGATCATGTCTTTGTCAGTGGGCAAACGTACAAAATCAGCAGGGGATCAAATACCTTTTTCCCTCACTGTAGTGCACTACTTTTGACCAGAAGGATTATGGTGTCATTTGGGATGCAGACTATATCACCCTCCTGTCTCTGTTTGATGTGTAGGTGATCTACCAGCCCACCCCACCAGAGGAGCAGCCGTCCCGCTCTGAGAAGTTGGACCCCCGGCCATACCTCCGGGTGCTGCAGGGCATCGACCAGCGCTACCCGCCCGAGGAGAGGGGCGACCTGCTCCTGTTCCTCAGCGGCGTGGCAGAGATATCCACCATCTTGGAGGCATGCCAGGCCTACGCCACACACACCAAGCGCTGGATCGTCCTGCCCCTCCACAGCACCCTGTCCCTGGTACAGCAGGATAAGGTACAGTAACAGTACCCTAACACTGGCACGGCAGGATAAGGTAACAGTACAGTATAATAAGGTACAGTAGGATAAGGTCCAGTAACGGTATCCTAACACTGGTACGGCAGGATAAGGTACAGTGACAGTACAGTAGGATAAGGTACATTAAAAGTACAGTAAGATAAGGTACAGTACCAGTACAGCAGGATAAGGTACAGTAACAGTACCCTAACACTGGTACAGCAGGATAAATTACAGTAACAGTATAGTAGGATAAGGTACAACAGAATACGGTACAATAACAGTACAGCAGGATAAGGTACAGTAACAGTACAGTAGGATAAGGTACAGTACGATTACAGCAGGATAAGGTACAGTGACAGTACCCTAACACTGGTACAGTAGGATAAGGTACAGCAACAGTACAGCATAAGGTACAGTAACAGTAAAGTAGGATAAGGTACAGTACCAGTACAGTAGGATAAGGTAGAGTAACAGTACAGCAGGATAAGGTACAGTAACAGTATAGCAGGTTAAGATACAGTAGCCGTACAGTAGGATTAGCTACAGTAACAGTACAGCAGGATAAGGTACAGTAACAGTACAGCAGGATAATGTTCAGTAACAGTACAGTAGGATTAGGTACAGTAACAATACCCTAACACTGGTACGGTAGATTAAGGTACAGCAGAATACGGTACAGTAACAGTACAGAAGGATAAGGCACAGTAACAGTACAGCAGGATAAGGTATAGTAACAAGACAGCAGGATAAGGTACAGTAACAGTACAGAAGGATAAGACACAGTAACCGTACAGCAGGATAAGGTAAAGTAACAGCAGGATAAGGTAAAGTAACAGCAGGATAAGGTACAGTAACAGTATAGCAGGATAAGGTACAGTAACAGTACAGCAGGATAAGGCACTGTAACAGTACAGCGGGATAAGGTACAGTAACAGCAGGATAAGGTACAGTAACAGCAGGATAAGGTACAGTAACAGCACAGCAGGATAAGGTACAGTAACAGTACAGCAGGAGAAGGTACAGTAACAGTACAGCAGGATAAGGTACAGTAACAGTACAGCAGGAGAAGGTACAGTAACAGTACAGCAGGATAAGGTACAGTAAAGCACAGCAGGATAAGGTACAGTAAAGCACAGCAGGATAAGGTACAGTAAAGCACAGCAGGATAAGGTATAGCAACAGTACAGCAGGATAAGGTACAGTAAAGCACAGCAGGATAAGGTATAGCAACAGTACAGCAGGATAAGGTACAGTAAAGCACAGCAGGATAACGTACAGTAACAGTAAGATAAGGTACAGTAACAGTACAGCAGGATAAGGCACAGTAACAGTAGGACAGGGTACAGTGTGGGTACAGCAGGATAAGGTACAGTAACAGTACGGGAGGATAAGGTACAGTAACAGTACAGTAGGATACGGTACAGTAACAGTAGGATAAGGTACTGTAACAGTACAGTAGGAAAAAGGTACAGTAACAGTAGGATAAGGTACTGTAACAGTACAGCAGGACAAGGTACAGTAACAGTACAGCAGGAAACGGTATTGTAACAGTACAGCAGGATAAGGTATTGTAACAGTACAGCAGGATAAGGTACAGTAACAGTATAGCAGGATAAGAGACAGTAACAGTACAGCAGGGTAAGGTACAGTAACAGTACAGAAGGATAAGGCACAGTAACAGTACAGCAGGATAAGCTACAGTAACAGTACAGCAGGATAAGGTATAGTAACAGTACAGCAGGATAAGGTACAGTAACAGTACAGCAGGATAAGGCACTGTAACATTACAGCAGGATAAGGAACAGTAACAGTTTAGTAGGATAAGGTACAGTAACAGTACAGCAGGATAAGATACAGTAACAGTGAAGTTGGATATGGTACGATAACAGTAGAGTATGGTACGGTAACAGTACAGCAGGATAAGGTTCAGTAACAGTAGGATAAGGTATAGTAATGTGCAGCAGGATAAGGTACGATAACAGTAGAGTAGGATAAGGTACAGTAACATTACAGCATGATATGTGAATGGCAACAGTAGGATAAGGTACAGTAACAGTACAGCAGGATAATGTACAGTAACAGTACAGCGGGATAAGGTATAGTAACAGTACAGCAGGATATGGTCCAGTGACATTACAGCAGGATAAGGTACAGTAACAGTATAGCAGGATAATGGACAGTAACAGTACAGTAGGATAAGGCACTGTAACAGTATAGCAGGATAAGGCACTGTAACAGTACAGCAGGATAAGGTACAGTAAAAGTACAGCAGGATAAGGTACAGTAACAGTACAGCAGGATAAGGTACAGTAACAGTAAGGAGGAGAAGGTAACAGTACAGCAGGATAAGGTACAGTAACAGTACAGCAGGATAGGCACTGTAACAGTACAGCAGGATAAGGAAACAGGGAACAGCACAGCAGGATAAAGTACAGTAACAGTACAGGAGGATAAGGTAACAGTACAGCAGGATAAGGTACAGTAACAGTACAGCAGGATAAGGCACTGTAACAGTACAGCAGGATAATGGACAGGAACAGTACAGCAGGATAAAGTACAGTAACAGTACAGCAGGATAAGGTACAGTAACCAGTACAGCAGGATAAGGTACAAACAACAGTACAGAAGGATAAGGCACAGTAACAGTACAGCAGGATTAAGGTACAACAACAGTACAGAGGATAATGGACAGGAAACAGTACAGCAGGATAAAGTACAGTAACAGTACAGCAGGATAAGGTACAGTAACTACAGCAGGATAAGGTACAGTAAACAGTACAGCAGGATAAGGTACAACAACAGTACAGAAGGATAAAGGGACAGTACCAGTACAGCAGGATAAGGCACAGTAAAAGTACAGCAGGATAAGGTACAGTAACAGTACAGCAAAGGATATGGTTTCAGGAACAGCAGGATAAGGTACAGTAACAGTACAGCAGGATAAGGAACAGGAACAGCAGGGTAAGGTACATCAACACAGGATAAGGTACAGTAACAGTACGCGGGACAAGGGACAGTAACAGCAGTGACAGGTACAGCAACAGCAATCAGGATTTAAAGGTACAGCAACAGTAGGACAAGGTACAGTAACAGTACAGCGGATAAGGTACAGTAACAGTACAGCAGGATAAGGTACAGTAACAGTACAGCAGGAAACGGTATTGTAACAGTACAGCGGATAGGTATTGTAACAGTACAGCAGATAAGGTACAGTAACAGTATAGCAGGATAAGAGACAGTAACAGTACAGCAGGGTAAGGTACAGTAACAGTACAGAAGGATAAGGCACAGTAACAGTACAGCAGGATAAGCTACAGTAACAGTACAGCAGGATAAGGTATAGTAACAGTACAGCAGGATAAGGTACAGTAACAGTACAGCAGGATAAGGCACTGTAACATTACAGCAGGATAAGGAACAGTAACAGTTTAGTAGGATAAGGTACAGTAACAGTACAGCAGGATAAGATACAGTAACAGTGAAGTTGGATATGGTACGATAACAGTAGAGTATGGTACGGTAACCGTACAGCAGGATAAGGTTCAGTAACAGTAGGATAAGGTATAGTAATGTGCAGCAGGATAAGGTACGATAACAGTAGAGTAGGATAAGGTACAGTAACATTACAGCATGATATGTGAATGGCAACAGTAGGATAAGGTACAGTAACAGTACAGCAGGATAATGTACAGTAACAGTACAGCGGGATAAGGTATAGTAACAGTACAGCAGGATAAGGTCCAGTGACATTACAGCAGGATAAGGTACAGTAACAGTATAGCAGGATAATGGACAGTAACAGTACAGTAGGATAAGGCACTGTAACAGTACAGCAGGATAAGGCACTGTAACAGTACAGCAGGATAAGGTACAGTAAAAGTACAGCAGGATAAGGTACAGTAACAGTACAGCAGGATAAGGTACAGTAACAGTACAGGAGGATAAGGTAACAGTACAGCAGGATAAGGTACAGTAACAGTACAGCAGGATAAGGCACTGTAACAGTACAGCAGGATAAGGAACAGGAACAGCACAGCAGGATAAAGTACAGTAACAGTACAGGAGGATAAGGTAACAGTACAGCAGGATAAGGTACAGTAACAGTACAGCAGGATAAGGCACTGTAACAGTACAGCAGGATAATGGACATGAACAGTACAGCAGGATAAAGTACAGTAACAGTACAGCAGGATAAGGTACAGTAACAGTACAGCAGGATAAGGTACAACAACAGTACAGAAGGATAAGGCACAGTAACAGTACAGCAGGATAAGGTACAACAACAGTACAGAAGGATAATGGACAGGAACAGTACAGCAGGATAAAGTACAGTAACAGTACAGCAGGATAAGGTACAGTAACTACAGCAGGATAAGGTACAGTAACAGTACAGCAGGATAAGGTACAACAACAGTACAGAAGGATAAGGCACAGTACCAGTACAGCAGGATAAGGCACAGTAACAGTACAGCAGGATAAGGTACAGTAACAGTACAGCAGGATATGGTACAGGAACAGCAGGATAAGGTACAGTAACAGTACAGCAGGATAAGGAACAGGAACAGCAGGGTAAGGTACATCAACAGCAGGATAAGGTACAGTAACAGTACAGCGGGACAAGGTACAGTAACAGCAGGACAAGGTACAGCAACAGCACATCAGGATAAGGTACAGTAACATCAGGATAAGGTACAGTAACAGCAGGATAAGGTACAGTAAGAGCACCCTGACACACTGAGCTCAATTCACAGTTCACAGACCCATATGTATGAATCTGGGACAGTCTATGGGCAGGTCTATGGGCAGGTGGACATCCATGCTGGATGGCTTACAATAAGGCTTTTATCAGAATGTTACCATTGCATTGGGGCTGATCTAAAACATGGAACATACATCACCTCTTATTAACTGTGTATTATATGTTCTGTCTGTAGGTGTTTGACATCTCTCCTCCAGGAGTGAGGAAGTGTATCATCTCTACCAACGTAGCAGAGACATCAGTCACCATCGACGGGGTGCGCTTCGTAGTCGACTCAGGTAAGGGAACCAAAGCACTAACTGGAACTACTGGGAGGAGCCAGGTAAATCTCATCATTCTGTCAATCCGGGAAAAACCAGACAAAATCTTATTTGAAGATCTCACCTATTCGGTCCATGAACAGAACCGTGTTGCTGTGTGCTACTTTCACTGAATCAAATAGAACATAACAATGTGTTACGTCTGTATGTGTCCTCCAGGCAAGGTGAAGGAGATGAGTTTTGACCCGAAGGCTAAGATGCAGCGTCTGCAGGAGTTCTGGATCAGTCGAGCCAGTTCAGAGCAGAGGAAAGGCCGAGCAGGCAGGACAGGTCCGGGGGTGTGTTACCGGCTCTACTCTGAATCTGACTACGAGGCCTTCGTACCTTACCCCGTCCCAGAGATACACAGGGTGGCCCTGGACTCCCTCGTACTACAGGTATTATAACCCCTAACCCTTCGCACCTTACCCCGTCCCAGAGATACACAGGGTGGCTCTGGACTCCCTCGTACTACAGGTATTATAACCCCTAACCCTTCGCACCTTACCCCGTCCCAGAGATACACAGGGTGGCTCTGGACTCCCTCGTACTACAGGTATTATAACCCCTAACCCTTCGCACCTTACCCCGTCCCAGAGATACACAGGGTGGCTCTGGACTCCCTCGTACTACAGGTATTATAACCCCTAACCCTTCGCACCTTACCCCGTCCCAGAGATACACAGGGTGGCTCTGGACTCCCTCGTACTACAGGTGCTGAACGACTGAAATCCCTCTAAACTTTTCTGGTTTTCTGTTCCCTATAGTTACTTCTGCATGCCAAAAGATTCTGTACCTTTTTTATCCTGCTGTACTGTTACTGTTCTCTGTCCTCACAGATGAAGAGTATGAGTCTGGGAGACCCGCGGTCCTTTGTGTTCATCGACCCTCCTCCTGCGGCCAGCATCCAGACTGCAGTAACCTACCTCAGGGAACAGGGGGCGCTAGACGCTAGAGGGGAACTCACCTCTATAGGCAGCCTGCTGGCACAGCTACCTGTTGACGTGGTCATAGGTACGTCCCTCTGAAATACAGAGATGTCACTGTTGAACTGTTGTGACTGCTGCCATCCTGTACTGTCTCCCCTGAATAGGGCCATGAGGTTTTCCTGACCACATGACATGAGCAGAGAAAACCTCCAGGCCCTAGTTATATTCTATTTATAAACCAGGAGCCCTAACCCATAAATCTGTGTGTGTGTGCATGTCAGATCTGGGTTCAAATACATTTGTTATTTAAATACTTATTTTCTGTGTATTTAAAGTATTTTCAAATAATGTGGCCCGAATCATCTAATGCTATTGGAAGTATTTGAAAGTATTTTCAAATAATTTCCTATAAATAACCTACTCTATGAAAATACTTTCTAATACTTATTTCAAATACCTGGGTTAAATGTATGGGAGTGTATTTGAGTCAGTGTATTTGAGTCAGTGTATTTCCAGATACGTTCCAATATTCAACTACTCGTCTTTTAAATACAAAATATCTGAATACTTACTTCCAATGTATGTGAAAGTAATCGAGATATTTGAAATAGTATTTGAACCCAGGTCTGGCATGTGTGTGTCCAGGTAAGATGCTGGCGTCAGTGTTTAACTTGGTGGAGCCGGTCCTGACCCTTAACCCCTGACCCTTAACCCCTGACCCTTAACCCCTGACCCTTAACCCCTGACCTCTGTGTGTCCAGGTAAGATGCTGGCCTTACGCCAAGCCCCTGACCCCAGAACCCCTCCCCTCTAACACCCTGAACCTCTAACCCCTGACTCTAACCCCTGTCAACCCTTAACCTTACTGTACCTTAACCCTGACACTAACCATTAACCTGACAGCTACTTAAACCCTGATCTAACTGCACCAACCTGAACTGTAACCCTGACCTCTAATCCATGTCCGGTGTAAACCCCTGACCTCAACCCGTGACCTTAAACCCCGACTCTGACCTGACTCGTGTGTCCAGGTAAGATGCTGGTGCTGGGATCAGTGTTTAACTTGGTGGAGCCGGTGCGAGGTGGTCTGCGTGCCATCAGGTCAGTCCGCCATTTATTCCGCATCGGTCCGAACAAACCACCGGAATGTGCCAAGCACGTAGCCTGCACTCCAACCAGGGAGACCCCTTCACCCTGCTCAACACCTTCAACGCCTTGGTGCAGGTCAGCCAATCAGGACACAGAAAATCTTTAGTCACCCTCTGTGCAAAGCCACTTGCAGGTGGCCGGATGGGTGGAGTATGTATGCAGGGGGTTCCGGATTGTGAGTATGTACTGCAGGTGTCCGGATGGTTAGAGTATTGTACTGAGGTGTCCGGGATGGTGGAGTATGTACCGGCAGGGGTACGGATGGTTAGAGTATGTACTGCAGGTGTCCCGGAGTGGTTATGAGTATGTACTGCAGTGTCTGGATGGTAGAGGATGTACTGCAGGTGTCAGGATGGTGGAGTATGTACTGCAGGTGTCCGGGTGGTAGAGTATGTACTGCAGGTGTCCGGATGGTAGAGTATGTACTGCAGGTGTCCGGATGGTAGAGTATGTACTGCAGGTGTCCGGATGGTGGAGTATGTACTGCAGGTGTCCGGATGGTAGAGTATGTACTGCAGGTGTCGGATGGGTAGAGTATGTCGCACGGTGTCCGGATGGTGGAGATGTACATGCAGGGGTCCGGATGGTTAGAAGTATGTCATGCAGGGTGTCCGGATGGTAGAGTATGTACTGCAGGTGTCCGGATGGTAGAGTATGTACGGCAGGGGTCCGGATGTCGAGTAGAGTAGTCTGCAGGGTGTCCAGGATGGATAGAGTATGTTATGAAGGTGTCCGGAGGGGGGAGTATTGACTGCAGGGTGTTCCAGAGATGGTAATGGGTATTTATTGACTGTCTCCTCCAGGTGAAGGGAGAGCGGGGCGGTGCCAGCAGGAAGTGGTGCCGGAGGAGAGGACTGGAGGAACAGAGACTTTATGAGATGGTCAACCTACGAAGACAGTTCAAGGTAGGACAGACGCACCACACCTGAGACTAGTATGTCATAAACGTGTGTCTATTTTGTATGTTCTCCCCCCCCCATCTTCTCTGTGGTCATTCGAGTCAGATCAGTTGTCCGTCGCAGAGAGATTGCTAGAGATCACTACTTGAAAATATCCTGTTTTTTTACGTTGCCATTGAGAACGCTCACCATTTTGAAGTAGTTCATGAAGGATCACATAATTCCATCCAGGTCATCAGGCGCGATCAGCCAATGAATTATACCTGGGAGTAAACATTCAATAACTGCAGGTGGCAGTAAATCACCAACCTTGGCTTTATACCTGTTCAGAAAACACAATCCAGGTGGCAGTACATCCAAACAAGGCAGGAAACCACATGTTGACTCTGTTCTATTCAGCCATTACAATGAGCCCGTCCTCCTATAGCTCCTCCCACCAGCCTCCTCTGATATGTGCGTACACATGCAGACCGTACTTGCTACAAAAGTTACAGAAACCAACAACTACACAAACTGAAATTGGGTACATTGTAAATGCAGTTAGCTAGCATTGATTTGTTTTTGCGGAGACATCTTTTTTGGGAGCATCTGATGATGACCTAACGTGGTGAGGGGATGAACTGTTGCAGTCATGACGCAAGTGGCGCTATGATTTCAAATCCTCCCACATGTTTCTAGTTTTACCAGCTGTTTTCAGCAACTGGTATTTTATTTATTTTGGGTTGTCATATTGGCAGGTTTGCTAGCAACAAACTATTTAGCTAGCTTCTAGTGTTTAATATGCGATCTCCTCGTAATTAACAGGCCATGTTGACGAGTATCCTGACGAGAAGGAAAACCTTTCTAGCTCGGGCATTATCAGCTCATTGTTATGGATGTATCCAAATGAATGTCTGGCTGCAGAGGTCGTGACTGTGTTAGCCGTAGTTCTACATAAATATCGAACTAATCGAACGAACGACTGGGTCGCGTCTCTAGCAACCAAAAGATGAGAAAGTACGAATTTGTGTATATAAATTAATTTATACAACGGGTGGGTCTAATCCTGAATGCGGATTTGTTTAAAACCGCATTCAAATCAAATCCAAATGTATTTGCCACATGCGCCGAATACAACAGGTGCAGACATTACCGTGAAATGGTTGCTTACAGCCCTTAACCAACAATGCATTTATTTCTTAATAAAAAAGTAAAATATAACAACAACAACAACAAAAAAGTGTTGAGAAAAAAAGAGCAGAAGTAAAATAAAATAACAGTAGGGAGGCTATATACAGGGGGGTACCGGTGCAGAGTCAATGTGCGGGGGCACCGGCTAGTTGAGGTAGTTGAGGTAATATGTACATGTGGGTAGAGTTAAAGTGACTATGCATAAATAATTAACAGAGTAGCAGCAGCGTAAAAAGATGGGGTGGGGCTGCAAATAGTCCGGGTAGCCATGATTAGCTGTTAAGGAGTCTTATGGCTTGGGGGTAGAAGCTGTTGAGAAGTCTTTTGGCGCTCCGGTACCGCTTGCAGTGCGGTAGCAGAGATAACAGTCTATGACTAGGGTGGCTGGAGTCTTTGACAATTTTGAGGGCCTTCCTCTGACACCGCCTGGTAAAGAGGTCCTGGATGGCAGGAAGCTTGGCCCCAGTGATGTACTGGGCCGTACGCACTACCCTCTGTAGAGCCTTGCGGTCGGAGGCCGAGCAGTTGCCATACCAGGCGGTGATGCAACCAGTCAGGATGCTCTCGATGGTGCAGCTGAATAACTTTTTGAAGATCTGAGGACCCATGCCAAATCTTTTCAGTCTCCTGAGGGGGAATAGGCTTTGTCGTGCCCTCTTCATGACTGTCTTGGTGTGTTTGGACCATGATAGTTCGTTGGTGATGTGGACACCAAGGAACTTGAAGCTCTCAACCTGTTCCACTACAGCCCCATCGATGAGAATGGGGGCGTGCTCAGTCCTCTTTTTTTTCCTGTAGTCCACAATCATCTCCTTTGTCTTGATCACGTTGAGGGAGAGGTTGTTGTCCTGGCACCACACGGCCAGGTCTCTGACCTCCTCCCTATAGGCTGTCTCGTCACTGTCGGTGATTATGCCTACCACTGTTGTGTCGTCGGCAAACTTAATGATGGTGTTGGAGTCGTGCCTGGCCATGCAGTCATGGGTGAACAGGGAGTACAGGAGGGGACTGAGCACGCACCCCTGAGGGGTCCCCGTGTTGAGGATCAGCGTGGCAGATGTGTTGTTACCTACCCTTACCACCTGGGGGCGGCCCGTCAGGAAGTCCAGGATCCAGTTGCAGAGGGAGGTGTGTAGTCCCAGGATCCTTAGCTTAGTGATGAGCTTTAGGGCACTATGGTGTTGAACGCTGAGCTGTAGTCAATGAATAGCATTCTCATGTAGGTGTTCCTCTTGTCCAGGTGGGAAAGGGCAGTGTGGAGTGCAATAGAGATTGCATCATCTTTGGATCTGTTGGGGCGGTATGCAAATTAGCGAGTGCTACGGGTCAGTAGTCATTTAGGCAGGTTACCTTAGTTACCTTAGTGTTCTTGGGCACAGGGACTATGGTGGTCTGCTTGAAACGTTGGTATTACAGACTCAGTCAGGGACAGGTTGAAAATGTCAGTGAAGACACTTGCCAGTTAGTCATTCCAGCTGGTGTCTATTCCACAAGTTACCACCGGCTAAATCTATTATGTTAAAATGCCTATTTACTCTGTTCCATCTAACTGCACAATCCACTGTCTCATCAGCCCAGCCAGGCAATTTATAAACTTGATCGCCACAATAAAAAGCATCTAGACATTATCTCACATTTCTTTTAAACTAACATTTAGTTTTCAACAGCGGATATTTATATAAACCTTGCTGTCTGTCTCTACGACATTTGCAACATTGTTTCAATATTCAAATTCGATCTCCAGCTGTAAAGTTTAAACTAGCTGCACTTCATTTCGTTTGACCTTTTTTCAATTGACATTTCTTTGTATATATCCATAAAAATGATACCAGCTGATTCATGATTTCGACTGGCTGAGAAACGTTGCCTGCCTGTCTGTCTCGTCCCGACTCCCAACACGTTCATTACTATGGGACAGCTGGAGATCGAATTTGAATATTGAAACAATGTTGCAAATGAGAGACAGACAACAAGGTTTATACAAATCTCTGAAAACTAAATGTTAGTCTAAAAGAAATGTGAGAATGTCTAGAATCTCTTTATAGTGGAGATCAAGTTTATAACTTGCCTGTCTGGGCTGATGAGACAGTGGATTGGGCAGTCAGATGGAACAGAGTAAATTGGCATTTTAACATAATAGATTTAGCCGGTGGTAACTTGTGGAATAGTTACCAGCTGGAATCGGTTTTAACCAATCAGCATTCAGGTTTAGACCGACCCGTTGTATAACTGGCAACAAGCAAGGGATAAGAATGTTGCATGGCAACGGTATATAAAGAACGAAGGACTGGGTCGCGTATGTAAATATCGAACTAAACGAACGAACGACTTGGTCGCGTCTCTAGCAACCAAAATATGAAAAAGTATGAATTCGCTGATAGAAATGGAAATATCAACGAAAATAATTATCTCTACTGGTACGTGTGCTTTCATATTGTTTTCTTTGGCAACTCGGGTCCGCTGCGTCGTCTATTATTTCCAAGGAAATGTACAGAAAGTCGGCGTTTATCCCCTTACGTGTTCCCTGCCTGGTGTGTGGTAACAGGAGCTGTTGCGTAGCCATGGTCTGTTGGAGGTGCTGGAGGAGAGGGCTCCCTCTGGTGGCGAGCGCGGGAAGCGCAGGGAGAGGTTGACCGAGAGGAGGAAGTTACACCAGCTGAAGAGAGAGCATGACCTGGCAGAGGGCGGCAGGAGGAAGGTCCTAAGACTAGAGGAGGGCCAGGACGGGGATGGGGATTCGGGGTCGGACACAGAGCAGGGCACGACGGGACGGGACGGGAAGGACAAGGAGCAGACAGGGGGACACAACCTGGACATACAGGTGAGGAGGACATCACTGTGGACGGAGCCATGGCAACAGACCAGTTGGTTACACTGTCAAATGACCTTCATTAATAAGATAAATGCTTGAATGATATTGTCTATAAATGCATATGAATTGTAATCCTTACAAATGTTTATACCACTTATAGATATTAAAACATATCTGTAATATCTGTCTTGAACCCGCCCCTACAGGAAGTGAAGTTCAAGCTTCGCCACAACGTGTCAGAGCTCCAGGAAGCGGCGTCGGCCAGCCAGGACCTGTCGTCAAGGCAACAAGCCCTTCTGAAGCTGCTGCTTTGTCGAGGCCTTTACCCCCAGCTGGCACTGCCAGACGAACACAACGCCAACCGCAAGGACTCAGAACAGGTGTGTGAGCGTGTGTGAACGGGAGTGTATGTGTGAGCGTGTGAGTGATGATAATGGCCCTGTCTCCTATAGGTGTTCCACACCCGTAACAAGCAGGGGGTAGTGATCCACCCCACCAGTGTGTTTGCCAGCGACCCAGAGGTGCTGCACGTCCCTGAGGAGGGGAACAGAGAGGGACCTGATAAGGGGGAGAGCAGCAGACACCAGCTCCTAGCCTTCGTTACTCTACTAGAGACCAACAAGCCTTATGTATCCAACTGTGTCAGAGTCCCAGCCCTGCAGGTCAGTACTGTGTCAGTCCCAGCCCTGCAGGTCAGTACTGTGTCAGTCCCAGCCCTGCAGGTCAGTACTGGGTCAGTCCCAGCCCTACAGGTCAGTACTGTGTCAGAGTCCCAGCCCTGCAGGTCAGTACTGTGTCAGTCCCAGCCCTGCAGGTCAGTACTGTGTCAGTCCCAGCCCTGCAGGTCAGTACTGTGTCAGTCCCAGCCCTGCAGGTCAGTACTGTGTCAGTCCCAGCCCTGCAGGTCAGTACTGTGTCAGTCTCTCTGCAGCTATTGTGCTCGATGCCTGACAAAGATCCACCTTTAGAATGAAGTGTTATCAGCATCACAGGTGGTTTAGTAGCACAGCTTTTATTGTTTCTGTATGCAACGTTCCTCTCCTTGTATAACGTGTCCTGACTGCACTGTCTGTTCCTGTCCCCTCCCAGGCCCTGTTGCTGGTAGCTAATTCCTTGGACAGTAACGCTGACTGCACCAGGCTGGTGGTGGACGGCTGGTTGGAGGTAGGGCTGACAGGAGAAGGGGCTCTGAAGGTTCTGTCCTCCTCCCTCAGCCTCAGGGCTGACTGGGAGCGCCTCCTGCTAGCTCAGCTGGGACAGGGCACCCTGGGGGCCGGAGCGGGGAGCAGGTCCAAGGCTGGGGGAGGAGAGGGGCTGGGGGTGCCTGGCCTCTCCCGTAAAGACCTGGAGAAACTCAGTGAAGGACTGGTCCGCTTCCTGCTCTACACCGAGGTACAGTCACACAACACCTCACCCTTTACACTGAGGTAGAGGACTTTATAGTATGGTACTTTTGGATTTAACAGTGATCTTTTAACTGTGGGTCCTAGTTGGAACATAGAAACTAGGACTTTGTTTTTCCTACCATGTGACCTGACCAGGTAAAGCTCCTATCCGTAATCATCACACGTCCATCTTGTTTATTGTCTAGATAACATCAAGAGAACATCCCACTGAGGTGTCCGTCTGTGTGTCTGTCCGTCTGTCTGTCTGTCTGTCTTCTCTCCAGGTGAGCTACAGTCTACGTCGTCTGACAGGCCTGCAGGTACAGAACCTGTACGTAGGTCCCCAGCCCCAGACGGAGCTCTCCGAGCCCCACGCCCCAAACCCTCTTTTCCCTGGGGTGGAGGCACAGCCTGACCCCATCAAGGGAGGCCTCCGAGTCACCAAATACTTCACCTATAACTGCCTCACTGTGAGTAGAGCCAGATTATCATATTACCAACTCGGTAAAGATGGATAGAAGGGTTATGGGACAACTGACTCCACACTCCCAAGAACACATATAACAGTTTTAGCTTTGATTTAACCATCCAGATTAGTCAAAAACAACATGAGCTGACACACACCAATAAGTGTCATAACAGTGCTGAATATTGGAGAGTAAACTTTATGAAAATAAGGTTAGTCGCACACTATATACACTCCAAACTATTTAATGGGTAAACCTCGGACCCAGTAAATTGTTGGGAGCATATAGAATGTGCAGCTTTCTTTCATTTCATCCAGTTTAAGGAACCAGATTTATCACGTTGTCTGAATGTTTAGCAAAGTTAGCTGGCAAATTTAGTGATCGTGATTTGGTGATCCACCCCTAAGGACCTGTACGGTTTTGTATTATAATGTGTCTGTGTCTGTACTGTAATGTCTGTATTGTGTCTGTCCTGTGATGTGTCTGTCCTGTAATGCGTCTGTCCTGTAATGTGTCTGTCCTGTGATGTGTCTGTCCTGTAATGCGTCTGTCCTGTAATGCGTCTGTCCTGTATTGTGTCTGTCCTGTAATGTGTCTGTCCTGTAATGTGTCTGTGTCTGTCCTGTAATGTGTCTGTCCTGTAATGTGTCTGTCCTGTAATGTGTCTGTCCTGTAATGTGTCTGTCCTGTAATGTGTCTGTCCTGTGATGTGTCTGTGTCTGTCCTGTAATGCGTCTGTCCTGTATTGTGTCTGTCCTGTAATGTGTCTGTCCTGTAATGCGTCTGTCCTGTAATGCGTCTGTCCTGTAATGCGTCTGTCCTGTAATGCGTCTGTCCTGTAATGCGTCTGTCCTGTAATGCGTCTGTCCTGTAATGTGTCTGTCCTGTACTGTAATGTCTGTAATGCGTCTGTCCTGTGATGTGTCTGTCCTGTGATGTGTCTGTCCTGTAATGCGTCTGTCCTGTAATGCGTCTGTCCTGTATTGTGTCTGTCCTGTAATGTGTCTGTCCTGTAATGTGTCTGTCCTGTAATGTGTCTGTCCTGTAATGTGTCTGTCCTGTAATGTGTCTGTCCTGTAATGTGTCTGTCCTGTAATGTGTCTGTCCTGTGATGTGTCTGTGTCTGTCCTGTAATGCCTCTGTCCTGTATTGTGTCTGTCCTGTAATGTGTCTGTCCTGTAATGCGTCTGTCCTGTATTGTGTCTGTCCTGTAATGTGTCTGTCCTGTAATGCGTCTGTCCTGTAATGCGTCTGTCCTGTATTGCGTCTGTCCTGTAATGCGTCTGTCCTGTAATGCGTCTGTCCTGTAATGCGTCTGTCCTGTAATGCGTCTGTCCTGTAATGCGTCTGTCCTGTAATGCGTCTGTCCTGTAATGCGTCTGTCCTGTAATGCGTCTGTCCTGTAATGTGTCTGTCCTGTACTGTAATGTCTGTAATGCGTCTGTCCTGTAATGCGTCTGTCCTGTATTGTGTCTGTCCTGTAATGTGTCTGTCCTGTAATGTGTCTGTGTCTGTCCTGTAATGTGTCTGTCCTGTAATGTGTCTGTCCTGTAATGTGTCTGTCCTGTAATGTGTCTGTCCTGTAATGTGTCTGTCCTGTGATGTGTCTGTGTCTGTCTTGTAATGCGTCTGTCCTGTATTGTGTCTGTCCTGTAATGTGTCTGTCCTGTAATGTGTCTGTCCTGTAATGTGTCTGTCCTGTAATGCGTCTGTCCTGTAATGCGTCTGTCCTGTAATGCGTCTGTCCTGTAATGCGTCTGTCCTGTAATGCGTCTGTCCTGTAATGTGTCTGTCCTGTACTGTAATGTCTGTAATGTGTCTGTCCTGTAATGCGTCTGTCCTGTAATGTGTCTGTCCTGTAATGTGTCTGTCCTGTAATGTGTCTGTCCTGTAATGCGTCTGTCCTGTAATGTGTCTGTCCTGTCCTGTAATGTGTCTGTGTCTGTCCTGTAATGTGTCTGTCCTGTAATGTGTCTGTCCTGTAATGTGTCTGTCCTGTAATGTGTCTGTGTCTGTCCTGTAATGCGTCTGTCCTGTAATGTGTCTGTCCTGTAATGCGTCTGTCCTGTAATGTGTCTGTCCTGTCCTGTAATGTGTCTGTCCTGTAATGTGTCTGTCCTGTAATGTGTCTGTGTCTGTCCTGTAATGCATCTGTCCTGTCCTGTAATGTGTCTGTGTCTGTCCTGTAATGTGTCTGTGTCTGTCCTGTAATGTGTCTGTGTCTGTCCTGTAATGTGTCTGTCCTGTAATGCGTCTGTCCTGTAATGCGTCTGTCCTGTAATGCGTCTGTCCTGTAATGTGTCTGTCCTGTAATGCGTCTGTCCTGTAATGTGTCTGTGTCTGTCCTGTAATGTGTCTGTGTCTGTCCTGTAATGCGTCTGTCCTGTAATGCGTCTGTCCTGTAATGTGTCTGTCCTGTAATGTGTCTGTCCTGTAATGTGTCTGTGTCTGTCCTGTAATGCGTCTGTCCTGTAATGTGTCTGTCCTGTAATGTGTCTGTCCTGTAATGTGTCTGTCCTGTAATGCGTCTGTCCTGTAATGTGTCTGTAATGTGTCTGTGTCTGTCCTGTAATGTGTCTGTGCTGTAATGCGTCTGTGTCTGTACTGTAATGTGTCTGTCCTGTAATGTGTCTGTGCTGTAATGCGTCTGTGTCTGTCCTGTAATGTGTCTGTCCTGTAATGTGTCTGTCCTGTAATGTGTCTGTGCTGTAATGTGTCTGTGTCTGTCCTGTAATGTGTCTGTCCTGTAATGTGTCTGTCCTGTAATGTGTCTGTCCTGTAATGTGTCTGTGCTGTAATGCGTCTGTGTCTGTCCTGTAATGTGTCTGTCCTGTAATGTGTCTGTCCTGTAATGCGTCTGTCCTGTAATGCGTCTGTCCTGTAATGTGTCCTGTCCTGTAATGTGTCTGTCCTGTAATGTGTCTGTCCTGTAATGTGTCTGTGTCTGTCCTGTAATGTGTCTGTCCTGTAATGTGTCTGTGTCTGTCCTGTAATGCGTCTGTCCTGTAATGTGTCTGTGTCTGTCCTGTAATGTGTCTGTCCTGTAATGTGTCTGTCCTGTAATGTGTCTGTCCTGTAATGTGTCTGTCCTGTAATGCGTCTGTCCTGTAATGTGTCTGTCCTGTAATTTGTCTGTGCTGTAATGTGTCTGTGTCTGTCCTGTAATGTGTCTGTCCTGTAATGTGTCTGTCCTGTAATGTGTCTGTCCTGTAATGTGTCTGTGCTGTAATGCGTCTGTGTCTGTCCTGTAATGTGTCTGTCCTGTAATGTGTCTGTCCTGTAATGCGTCTGTCCTGTAATGTGTCTGTCCTGTAATGTGTCTGTCCTGTAATGTGTCTGTCCTGTAATGTGTCTGTGCTGTAATGCGTCTGTGTCTGTCCTGTAATGTGTCTGTCCTGTAATGTGTCTGTGTCTGTCCTGTAATGCGTCTGTCCTGTAATGTGTCTGTCCTGTACTGTAATGTCTGTAATGTGTCTGTCCTGTAATGCGTCTGTCCTGTAATGTGTCTGTCCTGTAATGTGTCTGTCCTGTAATGCGTCTGTCCTGTAATGTGTCTGTCCTGTCCTGTAATGTGTCTGTGTCTGTCCTGTAATGCGTCTGTCCTGTAATGTCTGTCCTGTAATGCGTCTGTCCTGTAATGTGTCTGTCCTGTCCTGTAATGTGTCTGTCCTGTAATGTGTCTGTCCTGTAATGTGTCTGTGTCTGTCCTGTAATGCGTCTGTCCTGTCCTGTAATGTGTCTGTGTCTGTCCTGTAATGTGTCTGTGTCTGTCCTGTAATGTGTCTGTGTCTGTCCTGTAATGTGTCTGTCCTGTAATGCGTCTGTCCTGTAATGTGTCTGTCCTGTAATGCGTCTGTCCTGTAATGTGTCTGTCCTGTAATGCGTCTGTCCTGTAATGTGTCTGTCCTGTAATGTGTCTGTCCTGTCCTGTAATGCGTCTGTCCTGTAATGCGTCTGTCCTGTAATGTGTCTGTCCTGTAATGTGTCTGTCCTGTAATGTGTCTGTGTCTGTCCTGTAATGCGTCTGTCCTGTAATGCGTCTGTCCTGTAATGTGTCTGTCCTGTAATGTGTCTGTCCTGTAATGTGTCTGTCCTGTAATGCGTCTGTCCTGTAAT